AATTCTACCAATGTTCTTATTGGCTTTTAAAAAAGTATATTAGCTATTTAGATTGTACATGGTGAAAAAATCAAAACATTAGCTAAATAAGAAACATATTAGCAAAATAAATTATCAAATATTGCTTCACTAATATTCTGCATTTTAAAGCGTGAAAATTCAATGCATAAATAAACGCGAAATATAAAAAAATTCAATGCATTCAATACAAACACTTAAACGTTTTTTAGACGTTTAGGTAGCTCCCAGTAGAAAAATATCAATTCAACAGCGGCCTTTTAAAGCATTCTCACTTCAATTAATTAATTAATTCCTAATTGAGTTTAAATTAAATATTATCATGTTTTTAGTGCATGAATCTGAATTGAACAACCTGATAATGCTCACTCTGGTTATTGCTATCTGGTTGCTCCCTACGTGCTCTTGCGCGCCGAATCCAATGAATTAAAAATGAAAACTGTTGCCAGCGCGAGAAATAACATCGGTTTTATTGATACATACATACGTACGTATTAACGTTTTATATAATATAGATAGTAAGAGACTGGCAACCTGGATTTTGACTAACAGTAAAGTATATAAAAATTTATATTTTAAAAAAAAGATGAAACGAAACATATGAAAATGCACATTATAATACTGACCAATTCTCGATAAATGGCCTCCTCACATTTAATATCACTTGATTATTAAATAAGCATTTAGGGCAGAACAATAACCTGAACTCTTTAACAATGTTTTAATTTATCTTTAAGAATTTTTATGGACAACTGTTATAGCTTTTTTTTCTCTGTTATTATTTTTTATAAGGGTCAATTGCAATAATTTTCTTGCGATTTTACTAAAGTGAGTCATATTTTTCTAGAAAACAAGGTAATGCTAAAAATCAAGTTTTTTGCTGCTCAAGTGTCTGGAATTTGCAGATTCCGGTTATAGATATGTGAGTTTCTACTGTATATAGCTTTATATAGTTTATTGACACCTCTAACTATATAATTTCAAAAGCAACAAATCTGGTTTTTAAGAACATTACCTCTGTCTTGCACAATAAAATCAGTGGTAACTAATGGTGGGACGACTCCCTTTACATCCGTGGCAAAATAACCACTCCTCGTTTTTTTATCCTCTTGTCTCTCTTGAACCTGTGAATTAAGAAGATCATAAAATTAAAGTTATAAAAAATTTAATTACCGTTCACAATTGGTATCTCAAATCTCAGCGGATAAGAAATCAAAATAACATGTTTTCATATCAGTTATACAAATCTTCACTTTTTATTATATTCGAATATATCGCGAAAACATTCGGGATCACAAGTCAGAACTACTCTTGTTTAGGTTAGATAAAAAATTCATTACACCTCTGTTGAAAAGAAGTCATTATAGAAAGATAAGATATTCACAACTTTAAAGAATTCTTTGGAGTAGGTAAATAACGATCAGCCTTCAGACAGAAAATTTTTTCTTCATGCATACTGGTATAGAATTATATAAACATAATCTCCTGATTTGATATGAAACTAATTGTTATTTTTGAATACCTTTCGTTTAAATTTATTTATTAAAACATGTTCCTTCGGCTGGATTCTAGAATAGCCCAACCCGTGGCGATTTTTTTAAAATTTCGCCAAACAAGCTTTTGAAATCTTGCCAAACTAGGTTTCCGAAAGATATTTCGGGGAGATTATTTTAAACGTCCAATCACACCACTGGAATTCTTAAACCTGATTAAATATTATTTTATATGCATACCTATGCGAAAGTTGGATTGCATTAGAAAAGAGGGTTTATTTTTTCACCATTTATGCTTCTCATCTTTATTATTTCATTATTTAAATGTTATTTCATTCATTACCATTATTATTTCATTTTTTAAATTTTTATTAATTTCTATTAAAAAGTATTTTAATAAATTTGTAATAATTTAAATTGTTTCTTTTCTTCTTTTTAATAATCGAGAAGCAACGTTGATCCCAGTAATAATCGCCAACTTGGTGAGATTTCAAAAAGTCGCCAAGAGGTGTGCTATTCTAGGATTTTACCTGTTCCTTCAAAACAAATTCAAATTTTAAGATTATGAGTATTATTATAAAAGTATCTACACTAAAAGACCATTAATTTATTTTCCACCTCATAATAGTCATGAAAGTAAAACAATGTAAAACTATTTTAATCAAAAAAGAATCTCAAAGTAAAAACAGTAATTTTTTTCTGTCTAATGAAAAAAAAAAAAATGCACTAAATTATTTTATGAACATAGTGAACAGTAAAACTCACCAGCTTAACTATTAAATATTTTCATTTCTTGTACTTGAACATATATAAAACATTTATAAAATTTTGTTTATTTCATAAATAGTGTAAAAAATATGAATTTCTCAAAGAACTTGATATGATTGATGACCTGCATTTTTAATTCAGATTGCTAAATGATTTTAAAAGAGTATAAAAATTTCTCAAAACTACGGAAGTCACACATATTTCACTTCAGTAAATAAATTTAAATTACTTGAAGAAGATGACTAAGGCTTTATAATAATTAATGACAGCTAACACATTCTAGACAAAAACTCATTGCATTGTAGTATACAACAACAGGACAATGGATGATTGATTTAATTTTTTTTTTTTTTAAGTTAACTGATAACAACATTTAGCTAGAAATGAAACATTATCCTTGATTTTTTTCAAAATCAAACAAATCACTTTCTACACATGAATAGGGACCAAGATTATATTCTTCATGCAGGGGAGGAGGGAAGCAGAACCAGTTGAACCTCTTTCCTGGCTATCAAAATTAAGGCTGGTATTTGCTTTGAAAATTAAATAGTCAAGAGGTTCCATCCATGTCCATTCATAAAAAATATTTAAAAATAAAATATTAACAGCCAATGACAAAAATGCCTTCAGCTTTATCAAGAGAGAGCATGCTACATTAAACTTAATTAGACAAAATTAAGTAAAATTATAATTAAAAAAAATTCTGTTAACATACAACACTTGGCATTTGGTCTAAATCCAATTTTCTTGGTTGCTGTTGAGCAGGGCCTGGAGCTGGCATGCCATAGGGATAATTAGCTGGTGAACCAGGTTGAGGCGGCATATTAGTACCAGGAGGTGACATTCCAAATTGAGGGGGAGGAAGACCTGTAGGTGATGATATTCCAGGTTGCTGAGGGAAACCTGGTTGCTGTGGGAAACCAGGTTGCTGTGGAAAACCAGGTTGCTGCGGAAAACCAGGTTGCTGCGGAAAACCAGGTTGTTGTTGAAAACCAGGCTGTTGTTGTTGGAAATTTGGCTGTTGTTGGAAGCCAGTTTGTTGCTGAAAACCAGGTTGTTGCTGAAGACCAGGAGACTGTGGGAATCCTGGTTGCTGTGGGAAACCAGGTTGACTAGTGGGAGAATTCATCACAGGTGGCTGGTTTTGATTCATAATAGGCCTAATATTTACAGGATTAGATGGAGGAGATTGCAATGGTCTGACAGGTGTTTGTTGTCCTGGTGATGGAGGCGGAGGTACGCCAGGTTGATGAGGCGAGGGATGCTGAGAATACGGCACCTGTCCAGGCGATTGAAATCCAGCATTTTTAGAAGTATCATACCCATTACTCACACCATTACTATAATTTGATAGAGGTTGTGAATGAGGCGGCATCGAACCTAGGTTTTGGTCTCTGTACTGAGATGGGCTAGGCACATGTGAATAAGATCCTAAACTTGGAGATGAGTTATTATTAAATGCACCAGATCTAGGGGTTCCAGGAATGACATTATTGTTCATGTAAGGATAAGTGGATTTGTGTGCACCACTGTATGTAACATTAGTAGAATTTGGAGATTTAGAATGCTGCAGATTTGGCACTCCAGGCTGCATGAAGGAATTGGTAGGCATATTTTGAGGAAGAGGAGGGGCCAGTTTCATATCATGCATTTGATTAGCCAACTATAAAAGAAATTATACACTGAAGTAAGTTTATCATTATAAAAAGAATGAACTCATTTCCCGATTACTTAAACATATGAATTATTAATGTTAACATTACATGAATTATAAAGATAAAATCCAAAATATGGAATAAAATTATTTATGTCTGCAAATTGAAAAGTGTTTACTCCAAGATAAAATTTATGAGGCCTTTAAAGTAATTTTTATACATTTGATAGCATAAAATTAGCCAGGAAATCTTTGCCATTATTAATACATTTTCATTCATAATACATTAGGATTCATGCATAAATGTCTCACTATACATACTGAAGAGAATATCTCTGACTAGCAGGTCTATATCTATATAAACAAGTTTTTTGATATTTACAAATATTTTGCAGGCACTGTCTAAACTAGAAAAAAAAATTTCAACTAGTTTTCCTCTTTTTTTTCAAATAACTCACAATTTTATTTAGCAAATTAAGTATTGAAAAAAGGAGAACCTTAATTAGTTAAGAAATAAGTTGTCTATTAATATCTATATAATGAAAAAAATAAAGAAATAAATATATAGCATCTAAAATTTTAAATAAATTTATTTTGTTAGAAAGTACTAGGCATAAATTGTTCTGCTATAACTTTACTGTAATTTAATGTACAGTGCACACATACAAAAAAANAAATTAAGTATTGAAAAAAGGAGGACCTTAATTAGTTAAGTAATAAGTTGTCTATTAATATCTATATAATGAAAAAAATAAAGAAATAAATATATAGCATCCAAAATTTTAAATAAATTTATTCTGTTAGAAAGTACTAGGCATAAATTGTTCTGCTATAACTTTACTTTAATTTAATGTACAGTGCACACATAAAAAAAAAAAAATAAAAAAAAAAATAAATAAAATAAAAAAAACATACCTTTAATAACTTTTGATCAAATGATCGGATCTTCACATTCTAGGACTCATTCTTAATCATTTGAGGGGGTAATATCTCAAATATGCTAATTAATTATTAAAGGAAACACAAAAACGTACTTTCTTTGAATAAACATACACTTTCTTCGACAGATTTGGATTTCTGACCCCTTGAATATAGGGGGTAGCCGTAGTCTGAAAAATATGGTTCCAATAGTTTGGTCAAGTGAGTGATCCAAAATTTGGACCCCTTAATGCTAGTTTTACTTTTTTTTAAATGTATTTTGACATATACCGAAAGCTTCTTAAGCGAATTGAAATTTCTTTTCACACAATTACAAAATTTGCTTATCTTAAGATAATTCCATGCAATAAATAAATTTCAGTAAATGTTTATTATTTTTATTTTATAAAATAAAAGTCGAAATTTTTTTTTTAAATTGTAAGGTATGCAATTTTTGACATAATTTTAAAGTATGTCATTTTACATGGCAAAATACAAAATTTGTGCGAAATCAGCTGAACAGTTAAAAAAATTAAATTTTAAAGAAGTCCTATATTTATAATTCAATTTCCTCAAAAACTATTCAATTGATTTTCCACAAATTTTGTATTTTGCTATTTAAAACTACATTCTTTAAAATTATATAAAAAAATTTTATAATTTACAATTCAAAATTTTTTCAACTATTATTTATTAAAATAATAAATATTTACTAAATTTTTTTCTTTTTTCATCTTTGGATAAATGAATTTTACAATTGTGAGCAAAGATTTTTAGCGACTGAAAGTTATTAAGATATGGCAAAATACGCAAAAAGTAAAATTAGCATTAATCGGTCCAAACATTGGAGCGCTCTCCTGACCAAACTATTGGGACCATATTTTTGTGATTGCGGCTAACTCCTATACATTGGGAGTCATAAATCTGAATCACTAGAAAAAAAGGCATGCTTATACAGATGTCCTAGAACCTGAAGATCGGATCATCAGATCAAAAGTTATTCAGATTGGTCAACTTAATTACTTATTTAAATTCATCCCAATGATATTTTATTTCATGATCCCAACAGACAAAAATGTTATAAGCAACCACCGGGTCTTTCTTTAGTATACAGCAGTGATTGCTAAACCGTCACAGACATTGTCGTCGAACACGTTAAATTGATTTTATATTTACTAGAAATGCAATTTTATAGGCAATAAAAACACAAATTATAATTATTTTGAAAAAGCTGGTAACAGATTGTGAGTTCAATTTAAAAATCCTGAAAATTTGAGTAAAATCATTAATGACCCCTTAAAAAAATTTATGTCCTTATACATTTAAATAATTGATATTTTCAAAACATGAAATTCTAAATAAATTATATATAGCATAATTTAAATGAATAATTATGTATGCTTATTTTTATGTCTAATCACATATATTATTCTCCCAAAAAACTATTTACAAAAAAAAGCCAAGTATAAATTCCAGTTCTAATAGTTTTAAATAAAATAAACAAAAATTTTTATACATAAATGTGATTAATGTGATCTTGAAACTTCTGGACCTTAGATTTCTGGTAACTTCGGTTAATGAAAAATATGTAAAGCCGAATTTTTCCGTAGCACAATCATCTCGACAGATTGGTCACAGTGATTCAAAAATAATTCAGATGTTTCATAAGTTAAATGAATTGCTGGTAAAATTTCTAGTCAAAATATAAACATATTTCATATTTTAACAGATTACTCAATTATTAAATAAAAATTACAGTTTCAACATTTTATAATTTTGGAAAAAATCAGATATAGTATGACAAGAAATAATTTACAATAAACTTTTCATGCATGCAATAACAAAACAAAATAAAACCTTGTTGTCAACTTGATGATCAAGCGTCAAACTAGCATTTGGAGGAACTTGAGAATTCGGCGGTGGCATCATTTTGTTTGTTTACAGGAAGAATTTATATAAGAACTCCCAATTAAATGCAACTTTATTTCATCATTCACAAGATCACTCAGACTAAAACATAAAAATTTAAAAAAATCACCATGCAATTATATATAAATGCTGTTTTCATAAAAATTTTAAACAGTAAAACCTAAACCACAATTTAAACAAATTCTTGATTTTTTTTTGAAAGAAATATTTTTAATAATTTGTTATTTATTTAAATTCTTTCACTATGATTATAACCATAAGAAAAAAAAACGAAGATATCTCACATTTTTTTAAAAAAAAATTTGAGTTTTGAGCTGATGGGAATTCACATTACTATAACTATGAATCTGTAATAAGCTGTAATGTCTCTTAGAACAGCTTGAAATAAAATCGACCAACATCAAATTTCATGCTCTGTTAGTTTCTTAAAATTAATAAAATAATATAATTATTGAAAGAGTTAAAGTTTCTCAAACAGTTTTTACCTACTTGTTTAATACAAAATGTTTGCAAAAGAACAGTCAAAAGCATAAATGGGAATTTTAGAATTATTTTCTAATACCAGTGTAAATAAACTTGTATTGTATGTAAACATAACTGTATACATACAGTTATGTTTTTATTCAATATCGCAATATTTCAAAACTATTTCTTATATTATATTAAAAAAACTGATTAAAAAAATATTTAAAATTCATTTAAAATGTTTATAGGATATTTTTTTATTTAATGCTACAATATTTCAACAACAATATTGTTAAATTTAAATGTGTTCAATTAGAATTAGAATATGCTCAACAAGAAAATTTAAAGCCCAAATATGTTAAAAAAGTTAGACAAAATTAATTTATTCTTCATTTTTTAAACCATTAGTATTGATCGGCTGTATTTTCAATTTATGTAATGTTGAAAAAAAATGTGTTAGTCACAAGAAATGTCCTTTATCAAAAATAGATGCAAATTCTTTACAAAACTGTTGCCTAAGGATAATGATTCATTATCAATGTGCAGTATTTTTCATTCATAAACTGTAATTTCACATTGAAAAATGCCTGTAAAATAAGTAAAACTTTAATTAAATAGTTACTGATGTTTTTTAAAAGTTAAAAGCAACTGCTCTGTAGATATACATTGTGTAATATACATTATACACATAAAAAAACTGGGGGCTAACAGATCAGCAATTATTTATCAAATGCATGTTTTGTGTTTAAAAATGACCGTGATACAAGTTAACAAAGAATTCGTCAGATTTGTAATATGTGATGAAAGTGGCACCGATAATAAGAATCCAAAAGTGGTTGACAAGAAAAAAAAAACAAATATCGAGTGGCACATATGTTCTGAAACTAGCATATAGTAATAAATAATTGCTTAATATGACAAGGCAAACGAGCCAGATTGTTACATATAAATTAATTAAGAACAAAAATAATAAAACAAATGTAGTAGAGCAGTAGAAGTAAAGATTTGAACACATCATTTTAAAGAAACTTATCGGTTTTCTAAAAAGCGCCAAGCTTGGCTCTATATCTTTTTAACTTTCACTTAAAAGCATAAAATACATTTCTAATAATACATACATTACAATTTCAGTTCTGCAAATATGACGTTTCAAATACAAGGATAGTAAAATATAATTCAGTAGCAACGTGAGCTCTATCAAGTCCAAAAAAAAATTATTATGAAATGTTTTTTTTTTTTTTAAATGCAACTCTTCAATTCGGTAAAAAAGAAAAGTCAATTCTGTCTCTTTTAATTCTCAATATCAGAAAAGAAACTCATACCACAATAATCTACTACCATAATCAATAGCAATAAAATAGGTCGATTATCCAATATCAACCAGCATCAGTACTTAAAAGTAATAAAAACATACGTAGGAATAAATACTCAAAACAGAGTTAAAATAACTTACTATTATAACGAATGGAAATGACGGAATTACACCTCAGTATCTAGAAAACAAAAAATTTAACTTAAAAAGAAACGAGAGCGATTTTAATTGGAAATCTCACTCACTATTTACTTTTGACAGTAGACGATCATTTCAAACGTGGATGAAAACAACACGTCATGTCCATATGGGATTAACATGTTGCCACAAGTTGAACTAAACAAAACCGAAACTGTAAGATAGAAAATTGTCTGCTAATCCTCTTTGTTCTACGAAATAAGCTGTAAGCTAAAAAAAATTTGATACATACATTTAACAAAATAATAGCTTTATCAATCAAAGAAATTTCTACTTACTTTTTTAGTAATGAATAATAATTACCTCTAATTGTTAATAAATTCATTTATTTTGTATAATACATTGAACATTATAATGTATCGTACGACAGTAATTCGAAAAGCTAGATCGCCCTTGACTCTTTTCTTATTTGAAAATTCTAATTTATTACCGAGTGCATTTCGATGTCAGTCGTCTTTGAATTTTAAAGACACTCTTCTTCTTCCTCAAACTAAATTTCCCCACAAAATTAATTTTAATAAAAGAAGAGATAGAGATCGAACAATTGAAATTGTAAGCATTGCTTTCTTTTTGACCTCATTTATATTACAGATTAACAGGTGCTTATATTTTTCGCAGGTGCGAAAATTAACTTGCCAAGAAGTCTTCAGAGATAATTGAGAGCATTAAATAAAGGATTATAAATTTTCTTACATTTAACAATAAATTTTTAAATCATCTATACTTTTTTCTAGAAAAATCGGCAGATAAAAGCTATCTTATATTGAAAAAACAATTTTATTCTTAGCATTTACATATTAAATTTTTTAAATCTATGTCCCGGAAAACCCTAATAATTTAATTTTTTTTTAAAAAAAATATGAATTGTAATATTTGATTTAGAATGTGAAAAAAATTGTGAAATGTGATATTTTATTTAAAGTTTCTTGATAAAATGTACTTACAATTCATAAATAATAGATATTTACATATTTAAAAAAATTTCAAAATTTTATTTTATAAAACTGAATTTTAATTTTTTTATTAATTGATGTACAAATGTAAGTTTTCTTTTTCTGACTAACCTTTTTTAATGTAATTAACTTAGTTTGTTTTTCTGCAGTTATGTGTCAGAAAAATAATATGATTTTTAATATTTAAATGCTGTTTAAATTGTAATAAACCTTATCTTTGGTGTTAAACAAATTTTACCGAGTATATTTTAAAGCTTTATTTGTAATTTTCATTTATAATATTTTCTCATTTAAGAAAAAAAAAACTTATACATTACATTTAAAAAATCAACATTTGTAATTTAACCATCTCAAAATAATTAATGTATCCCACATAATAGATATTAACAATCATTCTGCATCATTTTAGTGAAAAGGTTTCATATTAATATTTGCTGAATATTGAAGAGGTTAGCATTATAAAAAAGTGCCAGACATATGTACAGCATAAGATGGGGCACGCTTTTTGTTTTTAGAAAATTTTTAGTTTACATTTACATTTATAAATACACACATGGTAAAATAAATATGCATGTACTCATAAAAGTTAAAATAATTGAACAGTTTTCTAAAAACGAAATGTGTGCCCCTCTCCCTCTACTCTTATAGTGCCAACAGTCTTTGAGAATGCAGTAATCTAGGCATAAATAAAAATTTTATGTGATATATTTGTATTGTAATTTTCATGTTTCTCAACATCATTAAATATGGATTTATATAATTTCTTTTGTAGGATTCTAAATTTGAAGAATTATATAGTGCACAGTTAAACAGGGACTCTTCCTTAGTATATACTTTGCATGATGGGCCACCATATGCAAATGGCAATGTGCATTTAGGACATGCTGTGAATAAAGTAATTATTATTTATATTATCTTTTTATTCGGTAACATATTGCCAATGGGTTAAAAATCAGTTTTTAATTTAGATATTTTTCTTAATTGTTTCATTTAAATAAATAATTTTTTTTATAATTTTATGTGCAATAAGTTATTGTTATACTATTATGATTAATTAATTTCCATAAATAAAATAATGTTTTCAGAAATTTGAGTTTTTCCTTACAAACTGGGAAAATACATGGAATTTAATTTCTTATTTTCCTCTTTTAAAAAATGGTGACCACTCAAAGCTATGGCATATTTAAGGATGATATTTCAACTATTTTGAACTATTTCTTATTTGTTTTAAGTATGTTTAGCTTTTCTTTACTTCTCTACAGTTTACCTGCAATTAAATAAAATTACTGTAGTTAGCCCAATATAACTCACACGCAAGATTGTGAGTTTCCTTTTGATATATTGTGCATAATATGTTCAGGAATTTTTTTTTTTTTAAATAGCAACTCTGTCACAGTATAAGTAGGTAATCATTTTATTCATAATTTAAGTTAAAATGATTTGTTGTATGTGTAGTCTTATGTTGTTTTTCATGTGGTTATTTGTTCATCATTGCAGATTTTAAAAGATATTACCACACGCTTCCATCTCCTAAGTCGAAAAAAAATCCATTATGTCCCTGGTTGGGATTGCCATGGACTACCTATCGAACTGAAAGTTATGAAGGAAAATGAGTCACTAGTGTCTGCTGATTCTAAACTTCATCTGCGGAAACGAGGTTGCTGGCCATTTCTTATGGGCAATTCTACCTCTTTATGAATGTGATGTTTTCAGAATTTTTGAATGTCATGTTATCAAATATTTTGTTCAGTTCAAAAATATCACATTTCTAATAAATTTAGTTAAAGTAACTCTTAGTGTCATTTGCACTTACTTCAATTTTTCTTCACTTTCAACACTTTGAAATTCTTTTAAAAATTAAAAACTAGAAGTAGTGAACGCAACATGATATGTTATGCCTTTAAAAACCAGTTTTTAATTTTGAAAACATTCTAAATTTCTAAAAATTGGAGTAAATATATATATGACACTAAGAGTTATTTAACAAAAATGCTTATTGATTTTAAGTTAGATTTCTTGAGTTATATGCATTTGAATTCTGAAAACTTGACATTCATAAATGGCGGAATATTTCTTATGTATTATTTTATCATTATTATTTATTTTATTTTTGAACATAAATTGTTGCACACTTTCTATTTATATGAAAATACTCAAATATTATTTTCGGGATTGGGATTAAATTTATTTATATATTTATTTTTGAAAGTGCTTATTATATTTCCATATGTTCAAATTATTTATAGCTTCTAATATATTGAGCTCATTAATTCAACTCTACTTTAACATTAACCCCTTAAATCACAGATTTTTTGACAGAAAATCGGCCAAAAAAAAATCTGTATTTTTTTAAGTAAGAAAAGTTTCCTGGTTCATCTTTTTTTTTGGTGGACAATTTTGATGTACTATGCTTTTGTTCCATGAAAAAAGGCTATATTTTATGTTTGAATAAAGAAGTGTTTTAGCTTACAATCCTATGTAAATGATAAATGTCAGTTAAATGATTTTTTTTTCTTAGCTTTCACATTGTTAATTTCAATGTTGTTATTGTTATATTCGAGTGCCGAAAATTGTAGCAGCATAAAATACAATGCCACTCAAATTATCTCGATTATGCACAGTTTGGCCTGTTTAACACGCTCGAAGTAACTGGAGTGCGCAAGTTAATGGGTTAATGATCAACTCAAATTAGATCAAGTTACACCCTAATAATTATTTGAAGCTAGAAAACATTTTTAGAAACATTTTCCTTTTTCACCCTGTAATAATATTCCCTTTTTCTTCCTGTAATAATTATTAATTCTGATTCACAACTTTTTATGAATTGTAATGTTTTTTTAAATTTTTTTTAATGAATTTTAATGTTTTTTTAATTTTTTTTAAAATAAAATCATTGCTATATCACTAAGATTCTTTACATTTTTTCGTTTGGTCATGATGTTGCATTTTGCAAGTTTTCTACTTTCTTCTTTATTTTTGATTCTTTTCTTTCAAGGCACAATTAATGTTCTTGTTTTTTCTTCTTATAATTTTTATTTAGGTTTCGAATTATAATTAAAATATTCATAAATTCTTTCATGTATATTCAAAATAATTAAGTGCCAATTAAAATTTGAAAAAATATTAATTTAATATTTTTGCTCATTTATTTTGTTTAGTTAAAAGGATTTTGAAAATAAAAATCTTATAAAAAGAATTCTGAATTATTTTGGAAGTTGTACATTTATATATATATGTGTTTTCTTTTTTTTCTTTAGCTTTTGATTTTTCTCAGAAAACTAAAAAAGAACAAATGAATTCGTTTTTGAAATGGGGCTTAGTAGCTGACTGGAAAAACAGTTACTTTACTTGTGATCCTAATTATGTTGTTCAACAATTGAAGACTTTTCAAGATTTATATGAAAAAGTAACTCACAATTAGTTAAATTTTTATGCTTTCATTGTATGGTTAAATAGATAAAGAAGGTATTTTCATAATAATGCAGAAAAGTTATTATTTATTTTTTTACCTTCAAATGATTAAATGATTAACTTTTTACTGTTTAAGTTAATATATATATATATATAAATTTTCTTCCTTTAGCAACATTTAATTTATGATTTAATTTTCATTTGCATTTCATGCATGTATACCAAATGTTAGGAACTTGAAACACAATTAAAAAAAAAAAAACAATAAGTGAAATATAAATTAAAAATCCTATTATTGAGTTTTTTTAAAAGAATAAAAAAGAGGGAGGAAAGCGAAGTTTTAGTAGAAATGCTTTGGTCTTGAAATATTTTAGTTTGACAGTTGAACCTTGTATCGTACATTGTACCATATGTTATGTACAATGCTTTATAATTATTGAACTCAACTGCAAAAGTAGAACATTGACAGTTTTGTTATCTTAAACTGTGAGTCTTACTTTCTTGCTTTTGCAATTTTATAAAAGCTTTATATATCAAGAAAAAAAAATTTTTTTTTTCAAGTTAGTGTTATTAAAGCTCTACTTTATATTTTCAATTATTTAGTTTTTATTAAACTAATAATTTATTATGCCTTATTTTATTTGTTTTTATAAGTTATTTCATTGTGTGTATGTGTTTTTTTCTTTATCCAACTGCTCAAAATAGTCTCAAAAACAAAATATTGAACATATCTGCATCAAGTTATAGGGAAATCATAAAAAAAAAATTTAAATATTGTAAACTATTGCATGCATATTTAATTATTCAACTATACGATGCTTGTCGCTTATTCTATGAAGTTTAATTTAACGAGTATGGATTATCCTGAAATCAAGCATTTAATCTTCAAAACTGTGCTATTACAACAGTTTTCCAAGCAACCCTAAAAATTCGAATGTCATAGATATATGAGCATTGTATATTTAGAACAAGTTTAAAATTACCAACCTTCTACTATTACAACAAATATTTTAGGACGAAAAAAAAAAATTTTTTTTGCAATATTATTATGGTATACAGAAAAAAGCGAATTGACAGATATTTTATATTTTTTTCTCATATCAATAAAGATAAATTAAAATAAACATCATTTCACCCGATTTCTTTCCTACAGTTTTAATCTTTTATTTTAATAAAAAATTAAGATGTGGTTATCTTTCACCTACCATGTAATATTCTTCCTACAGAGGAAAAATTCTTGGGCTAATTTTTGGAAAACTCAGCATATTTCAAAAGAATGTACCTTTTGTTTAAAATCTATCCATTATGTCCTTTTGTTACGCTCCTTAGCACTATTGAAATCTATGTTCAATATCGTCATCAATGACTTCAAAAGTTACAATTGCACTTCATTTCATCTTTTTCTCCTTTTTACAGATATTTTAATATTGTGTTTATGTATTTAACATTAAATGTGTGTGCATTTATAATGACAATCTTGCTATAACAGCAATTTAATATGTTATTGTGAATTGTCGTTATAACAGACTTTTAGTATATTTACCAATAATAGATTTTCCTCAATTTTACTATATTTGTTTATTGTTGATTTAATGTATTCATTTTGAATTTCAGGGACTAGTGTTTCGAGATTTCAAACCAGTGTATTGGTCTCCTAAAAATAGGTTTGATATCTATGCATTTTTTCATTTGTATTGCATTATTTTCATATCAGTTTGAGATGCATAATATGTGTAAAATTTATTTAGTGTCAGTACAATTATTATGTAAACACATAAGAAATTTGTGAATTACTTATTTTTACTGATAACATGTATGTTTATCTGTGCAATATTTGCACAAGACGCAATTCTCTTTCCAGTCAAAAATCTTAAGTGAATTACGAAAAAATATTAAATTAACTTCTTGAATGAAAAAAAATTTGTCTAAAGAAATATAAGCAATTTGTGATTTGCTTGATTTTGCTAACATAAGAAGAAGAATATCCAAAATCAATGAAAACATTATTAATATACGAACTTATTACCTTTAAGCTTATTTCTTATAGTGTCATTTTATTTTCATTCTTCAAAAATCCTTTTTTTTAATGTTTGTATTTCTTTTTCTTGAACTTACTGTAATAAGTTAATAATTATTTTCTTTCTGAATAAGCAATTTTTTTTCTTATCTTATGTTACCTCATATTGCACTTCTTAGTTTCCATTTTTATTTTTCCGTTGAAAGATTCATTATAGCTAGGCAAACTACTTTTAAATTCAGCCATATTTTTTCGTACTAATTTGTGATTTAATTGACTTTTAACCTAGGTTTATTTTGTGCTGCATCAAAAATGTTCTCATCCTAGAAATGAATCTAATAAATACAGTAATAGGAATATAATTTTAGAAATATTTAAAGTAATAGTCCTTAGTAAATAAATTTAGCAAGTTAAGTTTAATGCCATCATCGTTAAGTTAATTTACTTGCAAAAATAAGCTTTCTAATTTACAATTAGTTGGAAAATGACAGTTTCTGTTTCACTATTGGTTGTTTTCTTTAAAAATCAAGTCATGAAAAAAAATTACTTGCCTTTTGTAAGATTTTTATTTCATGCTTTAATAGATTCATTTCAGATTTAATTTAGATTCTTTAATTATATTCATTAATTTAAATACATTTTATTGACTGTTAACATTTTTCAGAACAAGTTTGGCTGAAGCTGAATTGGAATATAATTCAAACCATATCAGGTAATATATAATGTTTAGGTAATTTATTTAAATCAGGTTGTTTCATATACATGTTACATTGTTTTGTTAAATTAGATTGTCATAATATTAAAATTCCTGGAGTAAACATTTAAACCAGAATTATTCCATTATGCTTATGAATTGAAAACTTTAAGTAATCATTGGAATGTATTAATTAATTTTTATGTATGCATTTTGCTTACAGTATCTTTTTTTTCTTAAGTAAAATTTACTCTCAAAAACTAATTATTTTCAATCATATAACCTTAGTCTAGATTTCAAATCAAAATATTATGCAATATTTAAAGTTACAAATACCTAGACTTTTTACTTTTTAATAATAATTAAGATGATCTGATAACTTAAAATAATATTATTGCATTTCATTATTTATTGTACTTATTATAGGTAAAATATATGTTTATTCTTTCCAAAAAATATTTCAAGATGTCATGTTATTTTTGTATTCTAAATGTTCTTTGTATGTGATTTTAAATATTGCATTTCAGTGTTTTTTTTTTTTTTCTATTTAGATGTTCCACGCGTCTTATCACTGTAAAATGTGTGATATGCCATTAAAATTGAACAAATCTAATGTTATGTACTATTCATATTAAAGAAAATATTTAATTGATAAAACTGCGAATCTAAATTAAAATTACAATAAAATGTCATTAAAAGCATATAAATTAATACTGAAACTCAACTGAAAATATTTCAATCTTTAAAAGCAGATTTGGTTTAGCAATTTTTGTCTTAAGGAAAAGGAAGAAAAAGGAAATGATTGATTGCAAAATAGTGTCATATTTTAACAGAACCTCAAACTTTTTTTCTCCTTTAAATTACTTCTTTTTTAAAATACTTCAATTTTATTTTGAAAGAAATTAGTAATTTTGAACATTTTTAAAAAGTTAAAAGTAAAAGACTTCAATGGTAAAATTTTAATTTCATTCAGTCTAATTAAAATCATAAAATTTTTTAACAAATTAATTAACATTTAACAAATGTTATTTTTTAGGGTGTGAGATTAATCATTAATTGCATAAAGCTATTGAATTTTTACAAATATTCAAAATGAATATATATCTATAATGAAGTAAGTTCCCTAGATAATTCTAAAATAATAAAGTTAAGTATTCCCGCAACAGCCTCTTGTGGGCCAGGGGAATCATGGATGAGGATGTTCGACATTTTTGTGACCAACATTATGACTGTGGTAATGTAGTCGGCATTGGGCGCAATCCGTCTTTACTTCCCAGGCAATCTGGTACCTATCAATTTAAGTCATGTTGAAAGTCTATAGATTCATTTCAAAATGGATTCAGAATGGTTTCATTTTCAAAAAAGAATTTTTTACACAATACATTAATTCATGAGGAAGGTCTCAATTGAAGTTTTAGTTTTTTAAGGAATTTTTAATCACAGTAATGCATAATCTTAATAATATAATGAATTTTATGTTATTGAATATTCAAGATTTGATGTCTTGTTTTATAAAGTTTATTAAACTATTACATTATATTTGTTTCTATGTTTCCTTTTTTTCTCAGCTGTTCTATTTATATCAAATTTGAAGTTCAAAACTGTCCTGACTTTATAAAAGATGCAATAGGTAAGTTATTTTAAATACTGTTTAGTATAGATTATTACACTAATTAAATAATTTTTGAAAGGATCTGTTGTTCGTTATCTGCTATTTTTTTAAGAAATGTATATTTCATCTTTCCATCATTCACAATAATTATGTGTGTTTAAAAATTAAATAATTTTTTTTAATTTTCATGGTTTTCACAATATCAAGACACAGTTTTCTGTTTCTTATATTATTTTAGTGTCAAATATTTTATTATTTTTAAATAAAAATCTTAATAAAATCTTTTCTATTTAAATACTTAACGAAATATTTATTATTTTTTTTAATGAACATTTGGTCAATGCAATTTCTATTTAGCAATGCAAAATGCAATTCATATTCATTATAATTCATCTTTGTCAGGACTTGTTTTATATTGACTTTTTTTATTCTTAATTTCTCATTAATGTTTTTCGATTAAAAATATCTTGTTTTAAACATTTCTTCTAGAATTTACTATAAATTCTACTGATATATTTAAAAATATAATTGGATTAGTTCACAAATATTTTATGTGCTCTCAGCAGTTACATTTATGTACAGTATTTATCTGCCTAAACCATTAAAATTAAATTAACACATTAATAAATCTGAATTATATAAAAAAAATAATATCTAATCATGTTTTATAGATAATTAGTTTAAGAAGGTCAAGAGTGGTTTTATAATAAGAATTATTTAAAAGGTTACAAAATTTGTTAGTTAAAAGGAATTTTTTTTTTATTTGTTAGAATTAAATTTAATTGTTTAATTTAACTCTTTTATGTGTTTCAGATGTTATAAAACTATTTGAAATACTTGAAACAATTTTTCTGTTACACTAGAAAACTCTGTATTTTTGTAAGTCATCAATATCGAATTAAAATTAGAATTAAGGAAGAAGGTTACTATATTTTTACCAACATTAAATTTATTTGATTTTTTTAATCTGTTACAAGGTAATAGTAATTTGAATTGTGAGTTTTGTCCATAAATTCCTTATTATCAGATGCAAAAGAGTAAGAATTCAATTCTAAATTAAAATCATCAATAATTAATTATACCAATCATTGATTATTAAAAACAAATGAAAAGCTGAATTCATTATAGAATATAAATCAAATGATAAAAAAAAATTATAATTTTTAGTATAAATTTAAATCTATATGTTCAAGCTCCATATAATACAAGTCATCAAACGCAATATGGCTTAGTTTCTTTTCATTGTCAATCATATCCAGTGTGCTACAGGTAACAAAACTATTATAGTCACTTCTTTTTTTTCACAGTGTGTAATGTAATGTGCTACTTTTAAAAAAAAACACACATTTATTGTGAGTGTTGGCAACCACTTATAACGTTTATTAAGTAAATAAAGTAACTAAATTTTCAAATCTGATTGGTGCAAATCTTGATCTCCTATGTACTTTGCTTCTTAGATTAAATTAAAGAGTCCATTCGCTGGTTTGAAAATGGTCAATATTGATAATATTTCTCCCCAGTACACTATTTCCCAATCTAATAACATGGAAGAACCAGTTTCACTATGAGGAGAAGACTACAGGTTAAAATACGACTTTTTACATGCAGAACTGTCAGTGGGTTAAACAACTTAACAAAATTACAGAAGTATAATAATTTTCTGTCATTTATTTTATTAAATATTTGCTGCTAAGAAATCCATAAAATGTTGAAGATTGAAAGATAAAAATCATAAAAAATGGTTAAGAATAATATATTGGTTTATAGAATTATGACTTAATAATTTCCTGTGTTTAAATATGCCAATTTATTATTCTGCATCTTTTTTTACCAATTTTTCTTCAGTCTTCAAAATTTTTTTAATTTTGAGCATGCGTATGGTTGAATCTTCCAATAAGATTCATTTCCTAAAACTAGTTAAGTAATAACTATGTTTCAAATGTAGCTGATAATCACTAAAAAGACAGTTGCAAATAACTGCAAGAAAAATATAGTTTTTCTTATCACTGATGATATCTGAAAATATATATTTGCATTTTTTTTAAAGTAACTTTACTTATGAATTCTGTGATACAGGTCCAGGCTCAAAATTAAACGTTTTAATATGGACCACCACCCCATGGACCCTTCCTGCTAATCAAGCTGTGTGCTATTCAACTGAAAAAAGGTAACACAACTTCTAATAAGTTAAACTATTTCAGATTAAATTTTTATTTGTAAAGTACTTAAATATACACTAAAGAGTACTTATATATACATCTGGCCAAAAATATCTGGACACCCGATTGTTATGGTGGTGGAAGCATAATGGTGTGGGAATATTTCTCGTGGTTTGACCGTGTACGTTAATTCCTGCGGTTGAGCCGCAATGGCCCAAGGGATAGAGCGTTCACCTTCCAATGAGACGAACTGGGTTCGAATCCCAGTCGATACAAATTACGCATTCGGCTTGAACCGACCGTAGTGCTGATGTGAAATATCCTCAGTGGTCGACGGATCATGGGTTAGAGTCCCCTTGCCATCAGGCTAATCGTGGCAGGTTTTCATGGATTTCCTCTCCATGTAACACAAATGCGGGGTAGCTCCATCAAAAAGTCCTCCGCAAAGGCAAATTTCTCCCAGCACTCGATCGAGGAGTTCCCTTGTCTTCTGGATTGGGTTCAAAATTACTAGGCTACAGAGCTGAACATTAGTAGTTATAAAGCCATAAAATTGGGTCGGCTGTTCAACGATGGTTATAAAATAAAATTCCTGCGGTTGGAAACAGGAACTCTGCGATGTATGTGGACATTCTGGACAATGCTCCATCCCCAACTCTATGGCAATATTTCGAGGAAGGCTAATTTCTCTTCCAACTCCATTAACACATTGAGGCTTGCGCAGATGTGGTTTAACGTAATGAGTGTTCAAAAACTGGACTGACCTTCTCATAGCCCTGATCTAAATCCCATAGAACACCTTTGGGACGAGTTAGGGCGCAGATTACTGTGCCAGCCAAATCGACCCTCCTCACTGCAAGCACTCATTTCAGTTGTGATGGAAGTCTGGAATGTCAATTCCTCTGGCCACCTATCAAAAACTGGTGGAAAGGTGCAGGCTGTCTTCAATGCAAAAGGGTGACCAACATCATATTAACCCCTTAACGCACAAATTTTTTGAAAGAAACCGGCCGAAAAAAATCACTTTTTTTTAAATGTAAAAAAAATTGATTTCGCTCCTGGTTCAACTTTTCCTTTGATGGATATTTTTGATATACTGTGTTTTTTTCCATGGAAAAAGGCTATATTTTATTCTTGAATAAATAAATGTTATAGCATACAATCCTATGTAAATAATAAATATCAATAAAATTATTTTTTTCCCTTAGCTTTCACATTGTTATTTTCAATTCTTGATTATATTTGAGTGTGAAAAATTATAGCAGCATAAAATACAATGCCGTTCAAATTATCTCGAGTGTGCGCAGTTTTTCCTGTTTATCGCCCTCGAATTAACTGGAGCTCACAAGTTAAGGGGTTAATATGTACCTCATGACGCTCTACATCCATACCACTAGGTGTTCGCATACTTTTGACCAGATAGTATTTGTTGGCTTTTCGAATGGTATGAAAATAGATAATTTAATTTGTAAGATACCAATTCAATTCTAATGTATAATTATTGTAATGCTTATTTTTTTTAACCCTTTTATAGAGTTATTTTTTTCCATTAATGTTACATTAACATTCTTTATAAAAATAAACCCATTTATCTTATTACCTTAATTTTATTTTCAAGAACTTTTTTTGTGGGAAGATGAGTGAGATTTTTATTATGTTTACTACTGTTAAGAAAGGATCATAAACTTGAACTTTTATGCTTACAAATAATTGAATTTATAAAATCTGTGTTTATGTCTACAAACAAATTTAATGAGAAATGATCAAATGAATGAATGCGTAACACACAAGGGAAAACAACTCCCTAGTGTTGGCTTCCCTTCTAACCTCTACTAGTACCCCCATTTATGTAAACAAAGACCTTTATTGGTATTATTTTGTTTTTTCCTAAATTATCAGAGGGTCACACAAATCATTCCATTGAAGTTTTAAACTTAATGAAGTTGAATGCACAAGAAACTTCCGTTATAAACGATTGATGTAACTAAATCATAATTATCTAAAATTTTTTTTCTTCTGTTTATTATTTTTGAATGATGTATGAAGTATTTTTTAAAAAAATTTTATGATTTTGATAAAACATGGGTAACATTTTTTTTTCTTTTACCAAGAGAACCCAAAATGTTAGCATTATTTTTTTTTTTTTTGACAGAATTTGAAATTTTATATTCAACATTGTTTTTAAGTTAATAATAGCTTGTGCAACTTTCAAAAACTGAGAGAATCAGTTTATTATTTCTAAATATATAATTTGTGGGTTGCAGGTTGATAACCAAAGTTTTCCTTTAAAAAAAAATCTTGTTTGTATTTAGATTATTGGATTTTAGACACTTGGAGCTCTACGTTACCATTTACTTCTCAAATGCATATGGTGCCTTTCAGAACTTCTTTTTTCAATGTGTGTAATAACAAAATATATACCGTAAACCGGGGCGAGTCTGCCCATTTTTTCAGTTTGTCAACTTTCAAGTGGTCAAACTTTTGTAAATATTAAAGAAAAAAGGCTTTTAATAGNAGTGAAAATTAAATAAAACTAAAATGGGTAGACTCGCCCCTGGATGGGTAGACTCGCCCCGGTTTATGGTATTAAAAAGAAATGAAATTAAACAGCATTCAATGCCACCTGCTTATTAAAATCACATTCATTCTGATCTCATTTGATTTTATAAAACAATTAATTATGTGAATCAACATGTTTACAGTTGGAAAAAAAAGGAATTTAATTATAAACTTTACAAATACATTTAAAATAAAATACAAATAATTTAACTAAATTATGCTTAACTGTTTTAATTTACCTTTGGAATTTTTATAAAACAGGAGTAAAAAAATTTTTATTTACATTAACATTCTTTTTAAAAATAAACCCATTTATCTTATTACCTTAATTATTGGCATTTTTTTATTATTATTATTATTTTTTTTTACAGAATTTGAAATTTTATATTCATTATTGTTTTTAAGTTTATAATAGCGTGTGCATCTTTCAAAAAACCATGAGTGTCAAAAATAATTTTGAATTTATCTTAAAAGCTCTAGTCTTATCATTTAGGTACATTGTTAGCTAATAAAATTAATATGGAATGCTTTTATTTAAAACCGAATCACAATGGAACATGATCACATGTTGTTTAAAAAATTTTGATCTTTTTCTAGCTCTGCTTTTTTGTTGTTTAATGAAAAAACTAACAAAGGGATATCCTTTTGCTTTATGGTTTATCTCATTGAATACGTAAACATTCAATCTATTCTTAAGTTTATTTACATTTGAATTCTTTTACATTATTGTTGTGGGTACTTTATTTTTCTTAATTGAAATTTAAGAGTGAATGATGGACATACAATAATTTTCCTTAATGCATAAGCAGCTTTCATTTTTATTTTTTTACTTTTCCATCCCTGTTTCATTTTTCCTTTCCTCTGATCTTTCAATTTCCTCAAAAAGTCTAATTCACATCTGTTGTTATGCTATTTTTACTTGGTAGATTGACGATCAATTCTACTTATCATACAAAAATGAGAAAAAGCATGATATTAGTGTACTTTTTTTTCTTTTTTCACCAGAATATTTAAAATTTTCTTCCCCAAATAATTACAAAATGAAAACATGTCAAAACTGCCCTTCATTATAATCATTATCTTTGTTTCCTGAAATCAAGCATCAAAGGGCATATGTTTTAAAAACAAAAAATATCACATAATTTTCCTTTTTAAAACATGCCCTTCAAAAGCAAGATTTTATGAAACAGAGATAATGATTAAAGTGAAGGGCAGTTTTAACATGTTTTTAATTCTGTTATAGCAGATTCGGTGTTATAATCCAGTTATTTTGTTAGTGTCAGTCACTGTTTTTTTATTTTAAATTATTTTGAGCTATTGCATTACATAATCAAAAAATATTATTTAACTATAGAAAGAAATTGTTTTACAAACTAATTTTATTGATTTCTAAAGGAACTTTACTATTAGACTGACAAAGTTATTATATATTTATTATAGTGTAGGATATTGAATAAACATCATGAATTAGAGTGTAAATTATTTAGAACTAATAGTAGTTTTGTTTACCTGTTCTATGTGTACTATCAATAAAATATCAGATACTTTTCATTTTATTTAGATATTGTGTCGTATTTTGTAAAATGAAGAACGAGTTTTATCTTATTGCAGAAGAAACTATGTCTGTTTTAGAAAAAGTACGGAAGTCACCGTTGCATGTTCTAAAATCATTTGAAGGTTAGACTTAATAAATATCTTTCTTTTTTTTAGTATATTTACATTTAAATCCACATAATAATTTGATGAAAAATAAAATAATGCATAAATTGAAGAAAACATTTGTTCTGACAGAAACTTATTTAACATTTAATTTTGTTTCAACTAATTCTTTAGAAAAAACATTTTATGTGTGGACAATTTTCATTAGCATGACAAAATTTTTAAATCAATTCATAACAACGATGTTTAAAAGCATACCTCGTTTACTTTTAGCAAAAACTTATTGTGTTTAAAAAAATGTTTTTGTTTTTTCAATTTGACTAGTTCTTTTAAAATTGTAATCAAATAGTTGTATTTACAATAGACCAAAGTAAGTAAATGTGTAACTAGCTAAAAATGTTTCAGCTTTGCCTTGCATCAAACAAATAGAATTAATGAAGTAGGTTAAGTTTTAAAATTAAACTTTTCAGTAAAGCATAGGTAAATAAAACTATGAGTTTAAAAAAACTAGCTTAAAACTTTGGGAATCTTTTAAAAAGAGTGATTAAAACAAGAAATATATATTTTTTTTAAATTAAAAGAAGAAGAAAAAAGATTTTTAGAATTTCAGTAAAAAATTTAATATGAAATTTTTCAATTTTAAAAAGGGAGGAAAAAACTTGAAAGCAGACTAGTGAGTTTTACTGACCTCTTCTACTGAAATTCCAATATAAATATTTTTTTAGCAGATCAACTTTAATCAAAGATCATTGTTATTTTTGTGTTTTTTATTTTTAAAAAAGTTGGTTTTCTATTTTATGACTAGCCATACATTTCAAATATGATCAACGTGAAAAATAAGCAAAAAGAGATAGAAATGCAGCTTACGATACCAGCCTGGTAGCAAAATCTGCAGTACTGCTTATTATAACATCTGAAAATGATCTTAAATTACCTAGTTTTTTGATTTATAGTCTCATTTTGACTGAGTTGGGAATTGCAGATAAATTTAAAAGTGGAACCCAGCTCCTATCGTTTGAAAATAACATCAGCTCTTACTTATCACGCCATACCACTGCAGGAGCTTTCATTTATTTTGAAATTTCAATAGACATACACATTTTCTCTCAGAAGTCTACAGTCAATATCTAACGCTGCATGGTGTTGCATCGAATATTATTTTGTATTTTTCATTTAATGCAATTCTATTATCGTTATGTAAATATTAAATAATTTCTATTTAATTAAATTTTCATGCTTCCTTTTTTAAAAATTAATTTTTCAAATTTTCAGTCATTTGTGTGGCATTTTGTAGGTTTTAATTGAAATTTTTGTGTAGGATCTCTGCTGAAAGATGTTGCTTATATTCATCCAATCTATAATGGAAGAATTTGTCCACTTCTACCTGGTCATCATGTAACTATGGATAAAGGCACTGGTCTTGTACACATGGCGCCTAACCATGGCTTTGATGATTTTATTGTTGCTCAGAAACAAAATCTTCAACTTGATGTAGGTTTGGAAGCTTTTTTATAAACTTTGCCTACTTTTCACACATTATTTAAACACTGTAATAGTATATTTTGTTTGCCAATGATTGTGAAACCCTTGATAAACATTTTAATTGCTTTACAATGTTCCTTCACTGAACTCTAAGACCATACATAGGATTCTTTTTTTAAAAAAAATGTTAGTTCTTTTGGTAGAAAGCTCTCAGTAGGATTTAAAATAGTAGGTTAGCTGAGAAGCTTCATTAATTTGACAACCACTACCATATACCTATCACTATAAAAGCTACTAAGAATAATCAATTTACAAACACCTGTGACTCTGATATATTATTATTTTATTGAAGTTGACGTTTCTGTTACTTTAAATTAATAACTTATGAATCTTTAAATTAGTAACTTTTAAAAATATCTTCCAGACAAATTTTGGTAATGGAGAGGCAATTCACAGAAATCCCAAAAAAATTCTGCCACAGGGTTTACAATTATTGTGAAATGATCAAGCAATGTTGTCAAAGTGCAGTGAAAGAATCGGGATTTTTATTTATCTTACTTTTGTCAATTTTGCCTCATCTTTTTCTTAAAATCCTGATAAATGGGATTGATAGAACTTCAACATCTGCTTCTGCAAACATAATTTGAACTATTGCTGAATCTAAATCTGCTTGAGTTTACATCCCTCCCAATGTATTGACATGGTGGCCAATGTATTGACATGGTGTATTGCATGAAGTTAAATCAATATTCTTTTTTTTTCTAAAAAAATGAAACAATTATAACGCTTGGACATAAGATATATAATTGTGAAAGGAACAATGAGTAGATATATGAATGATTTCAGGAAAACGTTAGAGGCTTATTATTTAGTGAAAGATGTGACAATTTATATAACACAAGCTGCCATTTGCCATTTTTGTTTTGTTTCCTATAAGCAATAAATTAATAAAATAAAGGAAAATATTTTTTTTTTTAGAAAAAATTACCAAATGATAAATTTTAAAAGCATGCTATTATCTAGGAAAGGTAAGTTTTGATGTCAGGGAGGTGATAATTTCTAAAAATTTCGGTAAACAAAACATTAAACTATATTAATTGATAAAAAAAAACAAGTTCAGTCTTGAAATTTGTTTATAGTGCCACCCATGGTTAAATATATTTCTTTCGACTAATTAGAAAATCAAAAGTATTTTTTTTGTCTTTTAGGAATGCATTATTGATGAAGAGGGGTGTTATACCTCTGAAGCAGGCAAGGAATTTGATAGGAAATATGCATTAGATGATGGAAATGCATATATTTTGGAGAGGCTGAAAGATCAGATTGTCTATTCAGAGGAGTATGTTCATAGTTATCCGTACGACTGGCGAAGTAAAACACCTTTGATCATTCGAAGCAGTTATCAGTGGTTTATTGATGTACATCAGATTCGAGATAAAGCCATTGTAAGTATTTTTCAATGACTAATTTCATTAAACTTTAATTTTTCAACAGATGAATGCTGTTATATTATTTCAAAGACCATATCTATAAAGCAAAATGAATGGCTAGTAATTTGTTCACTTTAACTTATATTATGAATTTATTTCTTATTGTTTGATTGTTATTTGACTGGTATTAATTTGTTAAACCTAAAAGAAAGTGCTACCCTTCATTTGCTATCTGAAAACATTGATCAATAAATTTGAAATGGTTAGTTGTGAATATTTATAATTTTTGTTGTTCTTATTGTTTCATTTCATTTTATAACCGCCGTTGAACAGCTGACCCAATTTTGAGTTTACGGCTAACACTGTTCAACTCCATAGCCTTGTAGTTTTGAACCCAATCCAGAAGACAAGAGAACTACTGGATCAAGTATTAGGAGAAATTTGCCTTTGTGGAGGATTTTTTGATGAAACTAACCCGCATTTGTGTTACAGGGAAAGGAAAACCTCCCACAGTTAGCCTGACTGCGAGGGGACTTTAACCCATTAGTCTTCCGGTGAGGATATTTTACGTCAGCACTGTGGTCAGTACAAGCCAGGTGCTGAATTTGAGTCTCAGCTATCGCTGGGACATTAATCCAGGTCACCTCATCGGGAGGCGAGCGTTCTTTCCCCTGATCCACCAGGGCTCTGTGTCACCATGTCTTATACCATTTTCCAATACGAGCAAGCCTATTTAAGACAGAGGGGCTTCTTCTCGTTTTTCCAGTGTTGTTATTTATAGCCAAGAATTCCAACTTCTGCCACACATATACGTGACAGTATGGTTTACAGACAAGACTCATTCACACCCCATTCATCCATCCGCAGATCATAATTTTTACCTGAACCAGAGAACCAGTACCCCCAGGGGTATTGATTTTTTATCAGAATTCAGTGGACTTAGCAACCCCAAGATATTTAGCGGCACCAGACACCATTTTACATTCTTTGGCCATCGGGATTCGAACCTACAACCTTTCAGACCTGGGCCCAATGTTTTACCAGCCAGGCTATCTCAGCTCTATGATTTTATAACTAACAAACAATTTTTTTAGAATTGTATTCTTCCGCAAAGACAATGTAAGTTAAAATAATATAACTTCCAAAAAAATTTATAGTATTTTAAATTTCTTTTTTGCATATTTAATAATTTTTGTTTTATTTTCTAGTCATGTCTTCAGAATGTCAATGTTATTCCACCACATTTTAAAAAGAGTTTTCAAATCCAATTAGAAACTGCCCCACAATGGTGTATTTCTCGTCAAAGATCTTGGGGAGTACCTTTTCCTGTATTTTATGATCCAATTCACCATAAACCTATTGTTCATAGGTATATTTCAAATCTTCTTATAACTTTAATATAGTTTTTTTTTCAAGCAATTGCTTGGTTATTTTTACAAAGTTACTTAAGTTCATAATTATTTGCATACTTTAATGAAATGTTTTTTTCTTATCTTGATGTGCAAAATAAAATGAATGTTGTATTGTCTTTGATGAGAAAGTTACACTGGCTGAGAGTGCATCCTTTTAACTAATAAGATCTTACATAACTTTCTGCTGCTTTTAGCACAACAAAGCAGCATACTCATTTGATTATCAGCGCAAATTAATCTATGTTTCACTAACTTTTAGACCATAAATTACAACTACTAAGAATCAGTATATAGGAGGTCATGTCAATCTCTCTTCATTCAAAGGCGTTTCAACGAGTTTTATATTTAGTTTGTGGCAATATCAACCAAAATAATGATTTAATGATTTCCTTTAAATTTTTTCTAAATCAAATGAATCTTTTTCTAATTCACTGGTATCAGATTGAACAGATCTGTGCAGAGGTTCTAATGGACTAAAATAACATTGCATCTTTGAAAAAGAAAACAAGACTTTGTGCATTGGTTGTAATAATGGAACATCTGTTGTAAAGGGGATTGTACTAAAGAGGGTACATATATATTTGCATAATAATAACAAAAATATTGAAATATCTATGTTTACGACTTGACATTGGTTTAAAAAAGCTATCCTTTGAAGTTTAACTTTGCTATCGCATGCCTATAAAAGTAGACATTTTTTTAGTTAATTCTGTAATATTTTACAATACGAATAATAATTGCAAAAATAGAAGCTAATATAAAGAGCGAAACTTGAAATTATTTTGTTTTAAAGTCATTAAAAAAATAGTTAATATGCACTACGGGTATTGTATTTTGTAATCAAATTTTGCTTTAAAATTTTTTTTTCATTATAAGCAATGTAATTTTTAGTTTCAAAATCTGAAGTTTGAATGAAATCTGTTAAATAGCTACTAATAAATGAAAATTCGTGTTTACAATTTTTTGTTTAATTTTGATATTGATATTTATGCCCATAAAACTATTTAAAAAATTAAGCTGGAATTTAATGATCATCTAAAGCTGAAAAGTAAAAAAAAGTAATTTGTTTTTACTCTTCCATGCATTTAAATTTTTTTTCATTAGTCAATTAAATATGTAGTAAAAATTAACAAATCATTAAAATTATTTTTAAGACAAGTTTTGTAAATGAGGAAATACATTTTTATTTGTATGAATGGTTCATAAGATGCGCTGAATTACGCAAAAAGTGAAAATAATCTTTATTTTTATTCAGTCAAATACTTTATCTGACCTCTAGACTAAATTATTGAGACAATATCTTCAGGATTGTGACTTCACTATATTTTGATAGTAAAAAATTCAGATTAGTCAAAAAATTTTGGAGCAATTGTTAAAAAGTGAAGTAAATATTTGTTATTTTGCTACCCATGGTTTTGTATTTTAATTTCCCTTTTATCCTGTTCTTGAAGAAATTTATTGAATTTTTAGTATGGAGCTCAAATTATGCATATTACATTTTGTTTCCAAAATATTTATTCATTATTGATTCTTTATCTTTATTCACTATTGTAAAAGAGAGAAATAAATCTATGTTATTTTGCATTCCTTTAGTTTACATTTTAATTGTACTTAGAAAAATTTATTCCATTTCTTATGGAGAAATTTATTTTGGCTATTTTATTTCAGATTGTTGACTGACCATCTGTGTTCATTAATAAAGTCTAATGGTATTCATTGTTGGTGGGAAATGGATTCCAAACAGTTGTTCCCTGCACTTTTGAAAAAACAGGTATTCCTCTGTTTTGATTTGTTTACAGAAAAAATCGTGATTAAAATAGTATTGAAACATTAAACCTCTTGCACTTATAACTAAATTAAATTGGTAATTAAAATTAAAATATTTATTAATCTTAAATAAAACTTTGAAGGAGATAATTTCTTAAATATAGTTTTTAATACTTTATAGTTAAATTTACACTCAAATGTAGCATAAGATCATGGTGTCATATGATAGCAAACTCCTCATAGTTCTGTTTAACATATTGTTGTTTCTAATGATCCTTGGGCAAGCTAAGCTTGTTAGTCATTGACCTTTTGCGAATTAAGTTGAGAATTTGTGCCTTTTGTTTTATACTTATACTAAAAATTACTTTTTTTTCTATTATCTTACTATTCTTTCTTATAGTTTAAAAAAAACTTATGGATGTATTTACAATATTTAAATTCCATAATTGAAAAATATGATAATTTAAATTACCAGGAATTTTAGTAGAGAGTTTGATTGCATCAGTTTATTATTTGATATTTTCATTTCAGCTAAGTTTTTAAGATTCTGAATTCCATATGTATTTATATTTATAAATATGATAATTTAAATCAGTATGAGTTTTAACAACAAAAAAATTTATCTATCACTTTTTATTTTAGTTTCAGCTGTGAATATTCAAGATTTTGAATTCAAATATGTATTTCTAACTGTAAATTATATGTTAATTTAAGCCAATATGAATTTTAACAAAAGTTGTATTTTCTTCCAATTTGTATTTAAATTTCAACTGAATATTCAATATTCTTAATTCCAATATGTATTTCTAATTTTAAATTATATGATAATTTAAACTAATATGAATTTCAAACACCAATTTTCTTTTCTATCTATTTGCATTTCAATTTCAGCTGAATATTCAAGATGCTGATTACCAAAAGAGTTGTGACATAATGGATATCTGGTTTGATAGTGGCTTAAGTTGGAATTGTGCTCTTCCAGGTTAAACATTTGTACATGTTAATTTTAAATAAGTTTTGTTTACTAGTTGATTAAGTTTACAAAAATTAACCAAGTTTAAATAATCTGAAAAGTTGCAACTAATAAGATTCTTTTATTTTAGAAAAGTAAAAGAATTATCTTTAAAGAAATTCCATATAAATGTCAAATACTGTGGTATATGTAAATTTTATTTACTTTAAAAAAGTAAAAAAATTCCATAGAATTTGGCATTTTTATGGAGTTTCTTATGTGTCCATGTCTAAAATATGAAAGCTTTATATACCTATGAAAAATATTATTTTTTATTCTTAATACGTGATTTTGTATTATATAATTGAAGATCTTGGGGTTAAGCATGATAAATATATCACTTCCCTGCTGCAAATAATTATATAAAAAGCCACACACCTCTGTTGTAAAATCTATTTTTCTCTAAACTAAAAAAATGTAGGAATCGATTTTAATCCTCAATGTCTTGAGTTGGATGGATTTTTGATTTTTATAATTAAGACTTATATTTTCATGATTAAAAAAAATAAGCCTCCTATCTTTTTTATTGTAGAGGATTTTTATGATGGTTAATAAAATGATGAAAGTTACTAAGGTTATGAATAGCAATGAAAATTTAGTGGTCTATTAGGACTTACCTAGTTATCCATTTAGTGGTACAAAAATTTTATTACAATTACATAATTCATGTTATGGTACACATCAAAAATTATTAATTCTCCTCTATAACACCCTAAAACTAATTAGGTTCATTACCTCTTAATGGATAAAGATTAGTATTTTTTTTAATCAATTGAAAAAAAAAGCATAAATTCAGTGTACAGATTAGGATGGTGATGCCAAATAAAAGAATAAATGAGGAGAACAGAATAAGTATGAACTAACAAAATATCATATTGAAAATTAATTATCTAATAATTATAAAATCCTAAATAAAGTTAATTCTGAAAGATGTTTTTTAGATATTTAAAAGATATTTTCAAAAAAATATTTTTTTTATTGATGAGCTACACATGAGAGCAAAGCACAACATAACATGAAACTTTGAAATTTCATCATTTAAATTTAAAAGTACTAGACACTTTCAGTTATTACGTTTGAAAATTTTTGAAAATAAAAATATGTAATTATTAAATTTAGAGAAACATATTTAGTCATGTCACAGGCCTCTAAATGGCATTTTAAATGATCACAGGCATTTTAAATGATCTACAAACGCCTATTCTTTTAATTTTAAAGCTGCCTTTTTAGGTAGAAAAACTGAAAGGACTGGTCCTATTTTTCATTACTATTTTATAAATTCCAAACCTATTTCATGGCAACAAATTTGTCTCCCAGATTTTGGCAACATTAGTAGAACATTTGGCAATAATTGTCGCCATACTGGCATGAACCTTAGTCCTGAAGGTTCTTAATAGGATGGAGGTTATGAAGATTTTTATGGAGGATTACATGCTTATGATTATAAATTTCTTTGCATATAAAAATTTTAGCAATAAAAACGAAAAAAATTAAATAATAAAAATAATTTACTATTAAATAATAAAAGATAACTACTGAGATTTATTTTTGAAATGAATGTAAAAATGCTATGCATTTTTTTTATATAATTTTAATAGCTCCAATTGATGAAAATATTTTAAACTTTTCATGCCATAAATTTTTCATTGAATTTAAAACTAGCTTTTTTTTCAGTAATATTTTATGTCAAACGACATTCATGATTAAATGCTAAAATGATGTTTTCTTCTAGATCCAAAAGTTTCTGATATTTGTATTGAGGGTATCGATCAAATGAGAGGCTGGTTTTATTCTTCTCTGATTACATCTGTTGCCTTAGGAGAAAAAGCACCTTATAAGTAAGATGAGTCGCATTAAATTTAAAACTACTTTCAGAATCATACTTTCTATAAGTTGTACTATGAGGCCAGTGGTTGTGGGTTCGAATCCCACAGTAGGCAAGGATGTAACTTTCCCCCTCTCTCTCTCTGTGTCTTCTATATCCTTTCTTCTGTATAAATGTAACCCACCCTATAAACGGGTTTATAGTTGTATGATGTGGGCGACGCTACTCCACCACCAAAGCATAGCCATAGGTGCCCACTAGGTAACGATAAGAGAGTAGCAATTCTAGCATTTTTGAGGCCACTGGGAAACAGACCCAAGTGCCCGCCAATAAAAAATAAATATTTTCAATAATGTTAGTTTGATTTTATCGAAAATATAAATTGTTGATTTTTATGCCTTTTATATTATAATTTGAAATAAATATTTTCTTATTTTTGTTTGTTTAATTTATTGACTGGTTTAATCTTTTGCATTCAGTTTTTAGAATTAATTTGAAGACAACATAACTTGCTAAATTATTTTTAAAAAGTTAGTCTTGGTAATTTTAACTTTTTTTTTACAGTTACCAACTGCCTCAGAATTGTAATCTGTAAATCAAAAAAAATTTTTTTGATCTGTAAATTGTGTAATCTATATTATTGCATAATGAAATTATTGCTTTTGATCTGTCTGTCCAACCATGATGGGGTGATTGTATTCTTGGCTTTTCGTGTTGTTCATCTTGCTCTAAAAACTAGAAGCAAGGAATTCTGCGTTTCTCAAGATAACTGGTTTTCGAACTTCTGCAAATCAAAATCTTATAATCTGGCGAAGTATTTTTTTTATTTCTAATAGCAAAGGAAAAAGACAAACTCTTATAAGATTAACAAAGAACACAAATAAAAAAGAACATAATAAGTGACAAAAGTCAACGTCCCATCAGCAGATAGCGAGAGCTCCGGTATCGCTTCACCTCCGAGCCCCCGCGCAGAGCCATGCATCCCAACAAATGGTTCATGTCCATGATTTCGTCTCTTCCACAAAGTGGGCAATTAAGACTCGTTAAAATGTCAATTTCGTTAAGGAAGTTTGCCAGGCAGTCATAGCCTACCGCAAGTCTGAATTCCGCAACAGCCTTTTCACGGGACTTATCTGAAATATAATGATCTAAAATGTAACGACAAAATGTTAAAACCTTTGTTAAATCCCGTTAGCGAGACGTAAACACACATGTGGTTTTTCTTGCACATTTGATTCTTTTGGTGTGGTGAATTTTTGCCATTTAGAATACTTGGAACTGAGCCGGAAACTGCTAATATCGTAATTCTTTTTCATGCAATTCGTATTTTCACGATTTAAAAATCGTGTATAGCAATTCCTTATTCACGTGATTTAAAAAACCAATATCACAATTCGTATTCACGCGTTTGTCGTATTGAAGATCAATTTTCCTGTTTATAGGTGATTTAAAAACTACGCATTGCGATTTGTATAAACGCGATCTAAAAATTATGCATCGTGATTCGTTTTTACGCGATAGAAAAATTCAATATTGCAATTTATATTTTCATGTTTTTGATGTACAATATCGCGATTCTTATTCAACGATTTTAAAATCCGATATTGCGATTCCTGTCAGAAGTTTTTCTTTACTATAAAGGTGTGATATTTTTCATGAGTAGGTAATTTAATTATAAATGTTAGTTTAAAAAAATTATTTTAAATATGAGACATGTATGGGTATATAAATTGATATTGATTTTTTTCACATAAAATTTTCAAGGTTTTTGACTTCATGTCACAATTACCCCTTAATTACGTTGGTAAATCTTTTTAATCACTGTTATGTTGAACTGTGAAATCATTTAACATGTAAAATTTCAAACAATTAATTTCTATTTCAGATCTATCATGTTCCATGGTTTTGTAACAGATAGCAATGGTCGTAAAATGTCTAAGTCTGAAGGAAATGTTGTCAGTCCAGATGACATTTTATCTGGAAATAAAGTAATTTTTTTCCATCATCTCATTTTCAAAACCCAATGATTAACCTAAATCATTGTATTACTTGTACTGTCACAGAATTTTCTCACTTAAAAGTTTTTTTAAAACATTCTGTTCTTGAAACATTTTAAAACAAAACTAAAAAAATTTATTTTAGTTTTGCATTATTTTATTTAGTAGTCATCATTGCAGGTTAAATCATTCACCATAAATATTTTTTTATATATATATAACTGTCGTTTAACAGCCAACCCAATTTTGAGTTTACAACTTCTAATGTTCAACTCCGTAGCCTTGTAATTTTGAACCAATCCAGAGGACAAGAAAACTCCTGGATCAGTACCTCCAGAGGTTTGATTTGTTATGGGAACATGGAGGACTTTGTGACCTGACAGATTTAACGTGCATCAGTAACTGGGCCCACGACCTCTTGGATGGGGGCCCAGAGCCCTACCAACCAGGCTGTCCTGGACAGTCTTTCTTTCTTTAATTATTAGAAATATATCTTGGACTACGCAAAAGTAATGAAAATATACAGGACCAGCACAATTGTTAACACCACAAGGATTGAGAAATGTATTAGTACAACACTGCTGGGTTTCCCTATTATGGACTGGCTGTTCATGCGCATTTTAGAGAGTACTTTTATTTCAATAAATTATTTTTATTTTATATTTTTAATAATTATTGCAATCTAGTCAAGTCAGTCTAAAAATAGTAGTTTTTTGCAATTTATTAATTTTCAGCTAAATTGGTGAGCTTTGCAAATTAGTTGCCAAATCAATAAACTATAATAAAAGATCTAAATTACGACCTATTTGAATGCAATTAGCATAAAATAGAGATAATTTAGATAAATAGAATTATTGGCTCAAATGCCCATGAACAGCCAGTCCATAATACCAAAGTGTCCCTGGTAGCCATTAGTTTTGCTCCGTAATGATGTTCCAAATTTAAATATGTTATAAAATTGAAAATATTTAAATGGTTTTCTCTTCTTCAATTTTATTTTTACTGTCAAAATTTATTTTTGTAGAAAAGTGGAATTCCTTCCTACGGAGTTGATGTTCTTCGATGGTGGATTGCAGCTCATGCCTGCCATTCTGAAAATACTCCTCTCAAAAATCAAATACTAGAAGAATGCTCTCAAAGCATTGACAAAGTCAGTTATTCACTATATAATCACTTACAATTTGTTTCATTCATAGTTTTTAATATTTAGATTTTGCTTACTGTTTATCTTACTAACAGGATTTGAGATTTACGGTGCATAGGTCATACATTAATATGTTATACTCTTCTTTACATCTTTCGAATATCATTTGGTTAAACATACTATTCTGTTAATTTTTAAGGAAATACGATTCTCTTAATACTTCAGGTCAGAAAAACATTTTAGAAAGTTTTTATATTTCCCATTTATTAAAATTTGGAGAGAATATTTTAAAAAAAGAAAAAGAGAAATTTGGAGAGAAACTTTTTGTTAAAAACTACATTATGTTTTATTAAACTTTAATAACAAATAAAAGCTAGTTTTTTTAAATACTTTGCTTTCGTTTTTTTAAAGTAATAAAGTTTCGTAGGCTATATTGAAGTTCTAGAACAAAATGATTTATTGAGCGTGGAATTTTTTTTTTTTTTTTAAACTTTCAATTTTCTACAACTTTCTTTAAGTATTAATTGCTTTGATGTTGGCATTATCACTGAAATTTAAATGTAACCCCAAAGATTCATAAAGATAACTGAAAATGTGCAAACTTCTAATAGTATGTTAAAAATATGAATTTACTTGTTTCTAAAATTCCATTAAATTCGAATTTTACTTTTTACTGTTGTAATTTTCTAGCTATGGCTTTTCTTTTACTTCGATTCTTCTCCTGTCTGTTTGTTATACAAACAGTAAAACACTTGGGGAAAAATATGTATATTATAAAAAAAATATCTGTTTTTATTTTTTTTTATTACCTAAGGTTTTGTGGCCCACTGTATTAAGCATTACTATTACATTTTATCAGAGCTTGAATTGATAATTGAAGCAGTCAATGTTAAAAGGGGGTATGTTACAAATCTGCACTTTTGAGAAAAACCAAAAAAGACTGTGTCAGTTGTGGAAAGATTGTTCTAATTGTTTTCAAATTGTTGGATTATCTTTAGGCAGTCTAGAAAATTACCTGGTATTTGATATTAAGAATTTTTTAAAAAGTTTTTTTGGGTTTTTCTCAAAAGTGCAGATTTGTAGCATACCACCTTTCAACTCTGACCTCTTCAATTGCAAAAAAATGAAAAGACGCTTGTAAAGAGAGTCCTTTGTAAGTGAAACAAGTGGCATTTTTGTTACTGGACAAAGAAAACTACAAAAACCTGCTATTAAAATTAAAGTTTTTTAAATAGAAATAATTCCTTTTAAACATAATATTGTTCTCTGTAAAAATGATGTATTTTTTAATGTAAACATGTTCATTAGCTTTTCTTTATCTTACAAAAAAAAGTTTAATAGATAAATAAGGTTATGTATTTTATTTTTTTAGATGCGTAATGTATTGAAGTTCCTATTAGGTAGCTTATCTAATTTTGAATCTGAATATGTCACAGATGTTTCGAAGTTTAGAGCCTTAGATCTGTACATGTTGCACAAAACGTTACAGTTTTCTCAGAAAGTAAGTCTGTTAATAAAATTAAATTTGCATGCTTTCAGCTTTCTTTTTTGTTCAGATTCTTCTAACTAAGATGAAGTTAATTTGAAGTGGATTTGAATGCATGAAAATTGTTCCAAAATCTTTAATTTATATTTTATTATTAAAACATTAAACAATTTCTTTTAAAAGTTTTCTATTTCTACTTAGTTTTTTTTTTTTTTGTCAGTAATTCATTTCAGTAAAATTTCCTAATATTTTATTCAGTAAAATTTCCTTCTTTTCAGTAATTTGTTGCTTTATTATAAATCTAAATTTAAGTATTGTAAAATTACTAAGTAAGTTTACAAGATTAATCAGTGAAGTTTGTAAAAGAGATAATGTGCACTTATCTTATATGTCTTAATTTTTTTTTTTATTTTTTATTATTAAGAAGTTCTTGTAGTATTTTTTCTGGCTCTTAATTTTTTCATACAGGTCTGCTGGCTATTAAAATAGCGACTGCCAAAAAAGAATAATGTTGAGGTTGAAAAGCTTTAATAAACATGTTTTTACTTTTTTACTTTACATTTTCAGTACCAACCACTCAATATTTGTTATTTACACTGTAAGAAAATGTTTTGAAATACAGTTATTAGTTTATAATTAACTAATTTTTATATTTAACATTATTAGTTTACTGCATATCTAATTAAAATAAATGAATTATTTTAATTATATAAATTATTTTGAAATCAGCCAATGATGACACTTTATCCATAGCTGCCAACATGGATAGGAAAAAATCCTGCATATCTGCTAAAATTACTGCATATCTAATTAAAATAAATGAATTATTTTAATTATATAAATTATTTTGAAATCAGCCAATGATGACACTTTATCCATAGCTGCCAACATGGATAGGAAAAAATCCAGTAAATTTTACAAAATAAAATAAACTTCATGATAATTGTTGCATAATGTACTAAATATTTTATACATGGGAATTTTAGGGATTTTTAAAATTATCAAAATAGGAAAACTGCAATATTATACAGTTATGATTAACATTATATGAACTTCAAATGTTATGCATAATGTTTACTCATAATTTTGAATAGTAATAGGCATTTAATACATCAAAGATAGTTAAAATATTTTTAATTAATTTAAAAAAGGAATTCTAAATAAAAATAGACAGAAAATTTTGGAACAAAAAAAGCTTTAAACTGATTTCTATAAATGAGGCTCGTTTCATTATGTATTAATAATACTTATTTAAATATTCAAACTAGAAATAATCTGAGCAAAAATTCTATTTCAGTAGGGATTTTTTTTTTTAAGAAAACATGCTGAATTTTAGGGAATTTTAAAAAATGTACAAAAACCAGAATTTTTATTAAACCAGGAGAAACTGGCAAGATCCAGAAGAGTTGGCAGCTATGCCTTATCATATAGTAGCAATTCACTGGTACAAAATTGGGAAAGGAATTGGTCTGGTCACATGATCTAATTCAAAAGCAACACAACCAGACATTTTTCTACCCCGTAATCCAGTGGCGAGAGCGTTACAAACAGGCTTGGTGTGGTCATTGTCGGGGAAGAAGAATAGGTGGTGCTCAAAAACATTAGCATATTTTTCGGAAGAATATTTTCTCTTAGAGAAGGCAACATTGAATTCGTTAATGTAATTATAATATAAACCTGGTGGAATACAGGATTGCCACTCAAATCGGGAAAAAAAATTCCCTGTGTTTTCCCTGTATGTATTAAACACAATATATTACGAGGTAACACAACAAATACTGTGCTCTTGTGTGAACTATATTGGGATAACTATTTTTATAACTAGTTTTAATTGTTGGGAATAGTTAGAGAAAAAAAAGAACAGCTGAAAAAACTTAAATAATGCTATAGAAAATGAAATAGTTTAGTATAGCTGAAATATCATCCTTAAATATTCCATACATTACACTTTGAGTGGTCACCATTTTTTAAAAGATGAAAATAAGAAACAAAATTCCCTGTGTTTTCCCAGTTCGTAAAAAAAAAAATCAAAATTCCTTGCATTTTCCTATTCTCCCTGTAGAGTGGCAACCCTTGATTAGCGTAATTTATATATATATAGCTTGGTAATGTAACTGCACACACTGTATAACAATGGGTATCATGTGATTATTTTCTACTCTGTCTTCCACTGCATAAGTTTAGAAAGTTTATTTTTATTCTTGTGAAAATTAAACAATTCTATTTATGTATAAACAAAGTAATCTGCTATCGAGAATGGTCTCTATTATTGCAAGTCTTTTTCCACGTGGGTCAACGCAGCTGTGAATGTCCAATAGAAATAATTTAGGGCATTGCTGCTAAATAGTATGTTATTATATTTTGCAGCAAAGCCACAATCATCTGATTTGTATTATATTGATTCTGATGAGGTTTTATGAAATGATAGTTTATATTATTTTTGTCATGCAATACCTATATAGTGATTCTTATTATATTATATAATAACATATCATTTGTTGCAGATCAATGACTACTACGGTAATTTACAGTACAAAAATGTTGCCAAAGAAATATTAAATTTTGTGTCCAATGACGTATCTTCTTTTTACTGTGCTTTGATAAAAGACCGGTAAGATTTTGAATTATTATAAGCTATTAAATTGACATGCCTTCTGATCAATTTCACTTTAACTATTAAAAAAAAACTTTTTTAATGTATTAGAATTATAAATAACAATTTCTAAAAGCAAAGAATTTCTTACATATATATACGATATGTACTTCATAATATTATTGAAGATTCATGGGTTCTAAAGAGCTTCGCTTTATATAATAAGGATATTTAAGGAATCATGTTGAAAAATCCGCAGTTATGCCCTAATTACACAATACAGAGAGGGAAAATTAACACTTTTTAACTGTTCTCCTTATTGAGTCCTATTTATTCTATCTTCCTTAAAGGATAATCTTTTTATGATAATTATTTCTAAAGATTGTAAATGAATTAAGAAAAAGATTTTAGACGAAGAATTAATATAAAAAAACTTGTTATTGGTTTTTTTAATTTTCTTTCTATTCTCTTTACTTTAGAACAACTAAAGCTAGCATCATAAAAGTAATGTTCAAGAACAGCTAACCCTTTGACACAGAATTTTTATTAAACATATTTTTCATACTTCTCATTATTTTGTATCAATTTAGGTCAAAATAAATGAAAAATATTATACTTAGCATTTTAATAACTTACAGTTATGAAATACGGTATAAAACACTGGTGACCATTTCTGCATTAAAGGTATAATCTTTCAAACACAGTTTAGTTCCAAGCAATAATTTTTCAAATTTGCACTATTTAGATCTAAGAAAAACAGTTATTCATCATTGAAATTTATTTAATTCACAAAATTATTGATAGATTTTTGAATAAGAATTTTAAAAAAATGGTTTCAATCTATTTTTTAAAATTTTTATTCTAGTACAAATATAATTCCGATATTCTGACAGATTTTTTCGGTAACCATGAGACTGTTTTTTATATTTAAAAAATACCAATATATATTTTTGCTTGTAATTAGACAATCAGAAAAATATACAAATACAGGACACCAGTATCAAATCTGTGTCAAAGTGTTATAATATAAATGTGCTCTATAAGAGGAAGCCACTTACAGTGCCATCGGGTGGAAAACTGTAAAATTAGCATTCCTTTCTCCAAAACGGTTTGAGATATATGGTAGAAGGGTAAAAAAGTGAACTAAAAAAATTTTATATGACTAGTTACCTTGTGGACTGTAATCTTAAAAAAAGAATGCTTAAAACAAGCATTTGTTTCCGTTCGCAATTTTCTAAACTGTGACATGAAAAAAAAAATCATAGAAAGAAATAAAACAATTAGTAGTCAAAAGGGAGTGGCAAGTTTCTTCCAAAGTGGGGGAAACTTTTCTAAAAAAATAGGTTTCTTTAACAGATAAATATTATAAAGTATTAAACATTTTATAATTGACACCTAGTTTAAATCATCAGTTCCAATTCATTTAATAAATAGTTTTTAAATAAGTTAAACTAAAAAAAGCAAAAATTTGAAAGAAAGTAAGTTTAATGAACTTCCTAAGAAATTAAAACAACTAAGTTTCTTTCAATGCTTTATATAAAGGAATATATTAGAACTTTGTTTTGTAGTTATATTAAAAATATCATATTCAAATTATATCTTACTGTATATTGTTAAATGTATATTCTATTTATAATTATTATTAGGGTATTATACATTCTATTTATAATTGGAAACAGCATACTAATTTTCACCCGAATGCTGCTAAGTACGTACACTGAAAAAAAATTTTGATAGAGCGCTAAAGGTATTTATCAATCAAAAATAAATTTTTATGTGCCTTATTATAAAATTATAGCTTAATTATAATCTACATCTACTGAATAAATTAAAAGATTTTTAATGGTAAAATTTTATTTACAAATTATAGAATTTTCAAATCAATGATTAATTTTATAAAAGTTTGAAAAAATTTGATAAAATGATAAACAATTTTAAGGTTTTTTTAATGTTTGAGCAAAAAGTTATGTCCAAACTTAAAGGCTTTATTTAAAAAAACTTTCAGTTTAAAATGTAAATGTTATTGCTAGGGATTTTTCCATGTCATTTCAATAGCTTTAAATTATCTTGCTTGTGATTTATATCAGAAAATTAATTAAATACAAAAAGGCAATGAACTAAATACAAAATTTATATTTATAACTATTAATACACAAGCCTTAAAAATTTTTCAAAAATTTAACAAATTGAAAAGATTTTAACACTGTAATAATTTTTAATTAATATTTTGCCTAGCAATACTTTTTAGATAATTCTATCCAGATTATTCAGTAACACAAAATTCATCAAAATACTTATAAGCGTACTTATTTATTTAAGAATAATTGGCGGTAAGTTAATAGATTTTAAAATTCTGTATAAAATTTAAAATAAATAATATTAAAATAATTATTTTTTAAAACAAATTTATAAATTTTTTACTTTCTTTGTACTATATTAAATTCTATTTGTTTTCAATTTAAACTCTTTATTTATTAGTTACAGTTAAACATTTGTATTGGTCGATTTTAAGTTCTTTTATTTCATCCAGTTTCTCCCATTTTGTCCAATTTCTTCCGGTTTTTTCCACTTTCTTCCAGTATCCAGGGAGAAATAGGTTTTTATTACAAACGAAATGCCAACCCTGGTTGTCACAAAATATCTTTATTTTCGATTTATACTAAAATTAAAAGAAGTACAGACTTCAAAAACATTTTATCAAAACTAGTTTTTTTTCTATCATAAGATCCCAGGGGTAAGAAATGGTAAACAAACAAATAGTATTTTTAAGCATTCCTTTCTTAGCAATACTATATACAAATATCTATTTGCACTGCATGAAGGATGTTCTACATCAGTGATCGCCAAGCTGCAGATCACAAGCTACTAGTAGCTTGCGTAGACATTTCAGTAGATCACATTAAATTCATTTCATATTTAAATGTGTACTAGAAATAGTTTTGAAGCAATAAACCAGTTCTAAGAATTTTTTTTTTAAAAATTGTTAGTACTTTTGGTTGGTAGCTCACAGAATTTGGAAACCACACGGTAGCTAAGAAGCATCATAAGTTTGGCGACCACTGATCTACAACAATCCAGTTCACTTTTTTCGTTTCCCTATCTTGTACCGTTTTCAAGATACAAATACAATTAGATTTTCTTCAGGTGATGCTGTTATTGTATCGCATAGCTACTTTAGTGGACACCCTATTTATTCTTCAATCTTTCTTATATTAGCTCAGAATGTAGTACTTGTTAATGAGTTGGATTGAATGCCCTGTTTCAATTGCAGACTCTATTGTGATGGTGCTACTTCGTTAGAAAGACAGCATTGTCAAGTGGTTTTAAGCATGGTCTTAAACAGCCTCATTCGTTCATTAGCACCCATTTGTCCTCATTTATCTTCAGAAGTTCTTCTTCATCATCCTGATAAGCAGCTTGGTAAAATATGCATTTGTAACTCTCATTTTCCAAAGTTCAATCAATACAGATTATTATTGATTAATAATTATGTTTATATACATACAGTATACTCTTGATATCTTGAAAACTTTTTTATGTCGAAAAAATATTATTTTTCCCTTGGCATTACATATCCACCTAATGTTAATTTTAATTCCTATCCCGAAGAGTTTCTTCTCAAAACCTTGTTATATCGAAATCAAAAAGCAATTTTTTCGGAAAAATCACAATGTAAGTTTGTTCTAAACCAATTCTTTACTATTTGATGCATAATTATTTTTGTCTTACTTTTAATAATAAAATTATTATTATAGGAATTACATTGTTGTAAAAATAATTATATTGTTGTATTTAAACTTATAGTCAACTATCTATACATATATATTTATTAGTAGTTATTCTTATGTTTCATGACTCTACTTTTTAGAGCAATATTTTAGAATATTTTTTTTCTACTTTTCAGAACATATTTAGTTCTGAACTTGTAATCTCAAAAACTTGCAAAAAAATTTTTGTGTCCCTTCAATTTTGAAGGGTCAAGAGTATACTGTATATTTGAAGAAAAATATTTTAAGATGAAATAAAATAAGTTATTTCTTCATAAGAGGACTAAAAGGATCNTCCTTTTCAGTAATTTGTTGCTTTATTATAAATCTAAATTTAAGTATTGTAAAATTACTAAGTAAGTTTACAAGATTAATCAGTGAAGTTTGTAAAAGAGATAATGTGCACTTATCTTATATGTCTTAATTTTTTTTTTTATTTTTTATTATTAAGAAGTTCTTGTAGTATTTTTTCTGGCTCTTAATTTTTTCATACAGGTCTGCTGGCTATTAAAATAGCGACTGCCAAAAAAGAATAATGTTGAGGTTGAAAAGCTTTAATAAACATGTTTTTACTTTTTTACTTTACATTTTCAGTACCAACCACTCAATATTTGTTATTTACACTGTAAGAAAATGTTTTGAAATACAGTTATTAGTTTATAATTAACTAATTTTTATATTTAACATTATTAGTTTACTGCATATCTAATTAAAATAAATGAATTATTTTAATTATATAAATTATTTTGAAATCAGCCAATGATGACACTTTATCCATAGCTGCCAACATGGATAGGAAAAAATCCAGTAAATTTTACAAAATAAAATAAACTTCATGATAATTGTTGCAAAATGTACTAAATATTTTATACATGGGAATTTTAGGGATTTTTAAAATTATCAAAATAGGAAAACTGCAATATTATACAGTTATGATTAACATTATATGAACTTCAAATGTTATGCATAATGTTTACTCATAATTTTGAATAGTAATAGGCATTTAATACATCAAAGATAGTTAAAATATTTTTAATTAATTTAAAAAAGGAATTCTAAATAAAAATAGACAGAAAATTTTGGAACAAAAAAAGCTTTAAACTGATTTCTATAAATGAGGCTAGCTTCATTATGTATTAATAATACTTATTTAAATATTCAAACTAGAAATAATCTGAGCAAAAATTCTATTTCAATAGGGATTTTTTTTTAGAAAACATACTGAATTTTAGGGAATTTTATAAAATGTACGAAAACCAGAATTTTTATTAAACCAGGAGAAACTGGCAAGATCCAGTAGAGTTGGCAGCTATGCCCTATCATATAGTAGCAATTCACTTGTACAAAATTGGGAAAGGAATTGGTCTGGTCACATGATCTAATTTAAATGCAACACAACCAGACATTTTTCTACCCGTAATCCAGTGACGAAAGCGTTACAAACAGGCTTGGTGTGGTCATTGTCTGGGAAGAAGAATAGGTGGTGCTCAAAAACATTCGCATATTTTTCGGAAGAACATTTTCTCTTAGAGAAGGCAACATTGAATTCGTTAATGTAATCATAATATAAGCCTGGTGGAATAAAGGATTGCCACTCAAATCTGGAAAAAAAATTCCCTGTGTTTTCCCTGTATGTATTAAACACAATATATTACGAGGAAACACAACAAATACTGTGCTCTTGTGTGAACTATATTGGGCTAACTATATTTATTAGTTTTAATTGTTGGAAATAGTTAGAGAGAAAAAAAGGAACAGCTGAACAGACTTAAATAATGCTATAGTAAATTAAATAGTTTAGTATAGATGAAAAATCATCCTTAAATATCCCATAGATTGCACTTTCAGTGGTCACCATTTTTTTAAGAGACGAAAATAAGAAACAAAATTCCCTGCATTTTCCTTTTCCCTGTTTTTTCCTATTCTCCCTGTAGAGTGGCAACCCTTGATTAGCATAATCAGCTTGATAATATTACTGCACACACCTTATAACAATAGATATCATGTGATTATTTTCTACTGTGTCCTCCACTGCATAAGTTTAGAGAGTTTATTTTTATTTTTGAGAAAATCAAACAATTCATTTTATTTAAATTATTCTATTTGTGTATGGACAAAGTGATCTACTATTGAGAATAGTCTTTATTGTAAGTCTCTTTCTGCGTGGGTTCACGCAGCTGTGTATGTCCAATAGAAACAATTTAAGGCATTGCTGCTACATAATATGTTACCATATTTTGCAGCAAAGCCACAATTATCTGATTTGTGTTATATTGATTCTGATGAGATTTTATGAAATGATAGTTTACATTATTTTTCTCATGTAATACCTAGTGATTCTGATTATATTATATAATAACATATTTGTTGCAGATTAGTGACTACTACAGTAATTTACAGTACAAAAATGTTGCCAAAGAAATATTAAATTTTGTGTCCAATGACGTATCTTCTTTTTACTGTGCTTTGATAAAAGACCGGTAAGATTTTTAATTATTATAAGCTATTGAATTGACATGCCTTCATTTTACATCAACTTCACTTTAACTATTAAAAAAAAACTTTTTTTCATGAGTTAATATTATAAAAAACAAACATCATAAGCTAAGTGAATTGAGAAGGAGCTGGGCCAAACTTCTTCTAAAGGCAAAGAATTTCTAATAGCTATTTTTTAACAGGAAATAATTTTATAAATAGGAGAAAGCTTTTTGTTTAAAATGAATTAAGGAAAAGATTTTAGACAAAGAATTAATATAAAAACACTTGTTATTGGTTTTTATATTTTCTATCCACTCTTTTTACTTCTGAAAAACTACAGCTACAGATATAAAAATAGTGTCCAAGAACAGCTAACCCTTTGATGCAAAATTTTTATATTTTTCACATTTTTTTTCTCATTATTTTGTATTAATTTAGGTGAAAATAAATGAAAAATATTGTATTTAGCATTTTAATAATTTACAGTTATGAAATGCAGCATAAAACACTGGTGCCCTTTTCTGTGTTGAAGGAAAAATCTTTCAAACATGGCTCACTTCCAAACAATAATTTTTCAAATTTATACTTATTTAGATCATTAAAAAATTTTCAATCTTTTTTTTTTCTTTTAGTATAAATATAATTTCGATCATCTAACAGATTTTTTCAGTAACTGTGACTGTTTTTTTATTTAAAAAATACCAATATACGTTTTTGCTTGTAAAAAGACAATCAGAAAAAAATGTGCTCTATAAGATGAAGCCACTTACAGTGCCATCTGGTGGAGAACTGTAAAATTAACATTCTTTTCTCCAAAACAGTTTGAGATGTATAGTAGAAGGGTAAAAACGTGAACTAAAAATGTAATATGACTAGTTACCTTGTGGGCTGTCATGCTAAAAAAAAAAGAATGCATGAAGCGTGCATTTGTTTCAGTTCGCAATTTTCTAAACTATGACATTCTTTTGGTTGGTAGCTCACAGAATTTAGAAACCACATGGTAGCTTAGAGCATCATAAGAACGGCGACCACTGATCTAGAACAATGCAGTTCACTTTTTTCTGATCCCCTATCTTGTTCTGTTTTCAAGATACAAATACAGTTAGTTTTTCTTCAGGCGGCACTGTTAGTGTATCGCATAGCTACTTTAGTGGACACCCTATTTATTCTTCAGTCTTTCTTATATTAGCTCAGAATGTAGTACTTGTTAATGAGTTGGATTGAATGCCCTGTTTCAATTGCAGACTCTATTGTGATGCTGCTACTTCGTTAGAAAGACAGCATTGTCAAGTGGTTTTAAGCATGGTCTTAAACAGCCTCATACGTTCATTAGCACCCATTTGTCCTCATTTATCTTCAGAAGTTCTTCTTCATCATCCTGATAAGCAGCTTGGTAAAATATGCATTTGTAACTCACATTTTCCAAAGTTAAATCAATGTAGATTATTATTGATTAAGGTATTATGTAAATATATATAAGGTATACTCTCAATATCTTGAAAACCTTTTTATGTCAAAAAAATATTCTCTTCCCTTGGCATTACATATCCACCTAATGCTAATTTGAAATCTATATATTTGAATAATGTTAATCTACTCAAAACCTTGTTATGTCAAAGTTTTTAGAAATAGAAAAGCAGTTTTTTTTTTTCGAAAAAATCACAATGTAAGTTTGTTGTAAACCAATTCTTTTATATTTTTGTTTTACTTTTAAAAATAAAATTATCAGTGTTGTATTTGGACTTATAATCAACTTTCTATACATACATATTTATTAGCAGTTATTCTTATCTTTCATGACTCTACTTTCTAGAGCAATATTTTAGAATGTATTTTTCTTCTTTTCAGAACATATTTAATTCTGAACTTTTTATCTCGAAAACTTGAAGGAAAAAAATTTGCATCCCTTCAACTTTGAGAGTATACTGTATATTTGAAGGAAAAAAAACTAGCTATTTCTTCATAAGATAACTAAAAGATCAACACAGCATGAGAAAAAAAAATATGAAATTGCATACTAACTATCACCTTTATTTCCTTTTAAAATATTTTTCTTAAAATATTCTTCCAGTTGTGACATTATCAGCTGGGTGCTGGAAATTTATACTTTTTCTATTCAATTTTCATTATTATTATAATTATATCTCAAATTGTGTTATATACAAGGTGATATTTAGTATGTTATTTGGTATGAATGGTTTTTGTTTTTCTACTGCTGCTTTGATCCTTTTAGTTTTCTTATGAGGCGATAACTTATTTTATTTCATCGTAAAATATTTTTATTCAAGTATTCTTCCAGTTGGGACATTAGCTGCTCAGTGCGGTCACAACTTGGAATTTTATACTTTTTATCTTGAATTTTTATTATTAGTGTATTTGTGTCTCAAATTATTTGTTTTTTAAACAGCCAACCCAATTTTACATCTACTAATGTTCAACTTTGTATCCTTGTAATTTTGAACCTAATCTAGAAGACAAGGGAACTCCTGAATCAAGTATTGGGCGAAATACGGATTCATGGAGGATTTTTTGATGGAACGAACCCGCACAGTTAGCCTGAAGCCAAGGGGAACTCTAAAGCTTTGTGATTTTAAATCCAATCCAGAAGAAAAGGGAACACCTAGCTCAAGCATTGGGACAAACTAGCTTTCATGGATGACATTTAATTGTGAAAACATTAAAATTCCATAGGTTATCATTTTCAGATGCAAGAGAACCGGACATTGAAATCAGTACTATTTGGTTGCTTATCATAATTTTCTAAAAGTGCAAAGCATATAAGTTGGAGGCGTCCGAAATAACCAAGGCAATGTTTTACATCTGTTTCTTGAATTGTCAGCTCTTAGATGTTGTCGAATAACAATACTACATTTTTTTCACATTCATTTTAATGACTTCTTTTATGGAAATGGAATTTGAAATAAGATAGAATGCAGGAGGTTCCACTATCAGGGAGAAGGTTTTTACGACCAACAAAAACTAAAAGTTCACAATTTTGTGAAAGAGAGAAACCGACTTTAATTTGCAGAGTTCTAAGCTTATTAGCATTAAATTAAAATTGTTATGCTAACTTTTATTAAGATTTCTAATTTAATATTAATAATGATAAATTTACTTTAATGAATTCTACTGAATAATGCAGTGAAAAACTTAATTCTGTGTTTACTCGATGTACTGATGCGATCAGATAAAACTGTCAGTGCTGTATACATACAAATTGTTAAGGTGACTTTATGCATATATGTTATTTAAAACAATTAGGAATGGAGGATTTAATTATTAAAGCTGAATTGTCATACCTTACCTTATTATTTATTATAGATGAATAATATTAGAATGGCATTCATTCTTTCATTGAGTAAATTTATACGAGATTGTATATTATGTGAAGAGTATAGGTTCTGTCTAAATATGGGCATGCTATATTATTTGTAATGCGTTTTGTATAGGTTTCCTTGACTTATAGTTGAGCCATGAATTATAAGTATAATAAATTATTATCTCATGTATATGAAGACCTTGAAGCCATGTGTTTTTGGTAACAACAGGATTTTCATGGTGGTAATAAGATTGTTTTTGTAATTAATATGCTGTTATCTAGCGGAAATTTCAGAAAATTTTAAATACCTCTCTGTAAATATTGAGGAATAATTAGGTTTTAAAATGTTTCTTTTTAAGGAAAGTGTGCCCATGCCTTACTTGCTCACAAATGTAATTATTTTTGTATGGTTTTAAATGTGTTTCATGTAAAATTTTAAGTTCTAGTTTATAAAATTATTATAAATATTATGATTTAAGTTTTTTTATTATTATAAGGTACCTTTTGCTTTCTTTTTAGCGAAACAAAATGTCTTTCTTTGTCGATTTCCATGCTTGGATACACTGGTACAGAATACCATATTTCCTGCATTTTTTAAAACAGCCATTGAAATTAGAGAAACTATCTTAAAATCTGAAATCAAAACTTTGAATCAACAACTCGTTATCAACTGTAGTCCAGTGCTTTCAGATCACTTGGAGGTAAAATTTATTATTCCTTTTAATTTATTGTTTTTTTTCTATTCAGTTCATTGATTTTTATTCAGTGTTTCTCAAATATTTCCAACGTCTTCCTGCAAGCTGATAGGTTGTAATAAGGTCTAAGAAACAGTGTATTATTCAGATGTTGTGGTATAAGAGAAACTTTTGCATTTTTAATTGGAATTAATTCTAAGAAAATGCTAATAAAATCATTTTTTTAAAAGAAAAAATTCTTTTTTCTGGAATTCTGATAAAGGGAAATTTTTGAGAGATTCTTTTTTTTTTGGAGGCATACTAATTTTGATAATCAAATATGAATATTCAAATTAGTTATTTACTTAGAAAATTCTATATAAAACTAATATAAATGTTAGGAAAATAGTTATATTTGAATAGAATTGATGTGAAAAACTTTTAATTTCCTGGTACTTTATTAAATTTAAATTAGTACTTTATTAAATTGCATCAGTCATTTTCAGATTATTCAATTTCATCGAGTTTCTTACAGATAAAATGCAATATAACATATGATTACTATAAATCAGTTGTGCAATGTATATTTTTGCAATTAAAAAACTATTCATAATAGTTTTTAACATTGAGTTTTTTTTTTTTTTTACTTTAATGATATAAAATTTAAAAATTTTAAGTCAGACCTGAATAAAAACACTTCAATTCTACATAACTACTTGACTAATTTGCCATTTAAATTCTATCAAATTGAAATTGCAGTAGAGGAAAGATTTATTAAATCACTAAAATTCTAATATAAAATTCAGTAAAGTTTAAACTACAATTTGAAACTAGTTAAATCACAATTATAATATGTNAAGAAAAAATTCTTTTTTCTGGAATTCTGATAAAGGGAAATTTTTGAGAGATTCTTTTTTTTTTGGAGGCATACTAATTTTGATAATCAAATATGAATATTCAAATTAGTTATTTACTTAGAAAATTCTATATAAAACTAATATAAATGTTAGGAAAATAGTTATATTTGAATAGAATTGATGTGAAAAACTTTTAATTTCCTGGTACTTTATTAAATTTAAATTAGTACTTTATTAAATTGCATTAGTCATTTTCAGATTATTCAATTTCATCAAGTTTCTTACAGATAAATAAATATAACATATGGTTACTATACATCAGTTGTGCAATGTATATTTTTTGCAATTAAAAAACTATTTGTATTAGTTTTTAACCTTTTTTTTTATTTTTTTTTTTTACATAAGACATAAAATTTAAAAGTTTAAAGTCAGACCTTACTTTGAATAAAAACACTTCAATTCTACATAATTACTAGACTAATTTGCCATTGAAATTGCAGTAGAGGAAAGATTTATTAAATCACTAAAATTCTAATATAAAATTCAGTAAAGTTTAAACTACAATTTGAAACTAGTTAAATCACAATATTAATTGTTCTTTCTTTTTTTTTTCTTTCTTTTTAAAAATTCTTTGTGACTGCAAGGTTTTGAATAATATATAATAAATCAAACAGTTAAATTTATTGTAATGAAAAAATTTCTTTAGAATGCTCAAAATGCTTGCTCAAAAGAAAACATTGAAATTAATAACACTTTCAAACTTCTTTTATAATTAATTAAGATTTACAATTATTTTATAGAAAGTAAATATGAATATGGAAAATGCATCAGGTCTAACTGAATTGTATCAAGTCTCGGAAGTTTTTATTAACAAATCTCCTAAGGATGTCAAAGAATCCAGTAGCCTGAAAGGAAATATTAAAGAACTGGGAGAAAGTTTGTATATTATTACATTTCACTTTGACTATATTATTGGTCACCACCCCCTATAGGGTGTTATATCAAATATAACAAGTCATTTAAAAAATTGTCTGCCGGTTGCTACTTTTTTCATCAAAAATGAAATGCATGCCATGTGCATGTTATTATTTTTTTTTAAAAATAAATATGGAATTATGAAGAACATTTTATAATAATCTGAAAATGACTTTATTTCACCCTTGTTTATTGAAATTTTTCTTTATTTTAGGAATGAACCTTAAAACATTTACTATATTTTGAAAATGTTTAAAAAAGAAATGCACTATTTTATCAAGTTTTTTTAATCATTTAAAATTTTTGAAAAAGTAGCTACATGTTTTAGAAAATGGCCAGTAGCAAAATTTTCTAATTTTACCCCATAATATTCCCTTTTTTTTATGATTCTGTGAGCACTGCATTATAGCCCCGGACTCTGATTAGTGATACACACCATTAATTATGCATATTATAACCTCTTAATTGTTATTTTATTTGTACCAAATTTCATTATAACCTATCAAGTAGTTAACCTATAACTTATCTAGTAATTAACCAAATGTAAAATTTTGATTAATTTTAAACTTCAGAATATAAGAGTTGAGTTACAGTACATAAATTCAAGGTTGATAAAAAATTAATTTTATGTTTTTGAAATAGTTAATGACCCCTGTTAATTTTGGTTATTGTATTACATTATTTTAAGTTACTAATTTATTACTTTCAGATGGAGACTATTCATTAACCTTTGCAGAGAATAAGATGGGAAAATGTCCAAGATGTCGCCTGTATAAATCCATTTCATCATCAAGTTTATGTGATCGTTGTGCCCGAGTTATAAATTTATATAATACTAATTCTGTTAAAATAAATAAGTGTTAATATTTAATTTTCTTGCATGTTGTTTTGTTTTAATCTAAGTAATAAATTTAAAATATCATTTAATATTAAATTATATAAAACAAAAAGCTTCTATTCTGATAATAATTTATACACTAATAAAAATATTAAAATTTTTACAGTTAAAGCTTAAAAAGAGAAACTTGATCTCTTGAAGTTTATTTTTTATTTAAATTGAGTATTTAGATCATTCTTCTGACTTTGCCACTTTTATAAGGATAACATTTCTTACAAAGGAGGAAAAACATACTTTTGGGGGTACTTTTTAGTAAGGCTCAATTAAATTATTCTTTTTTTCAACATGAAAAATAAATAAAAAAAGAATTGATTAAAGTTACTTGGGTTTGACTAAAAGAAAATTATCATTTTCAGGCATTACAAGTAAACCGTACTTTGAAGGGGCTGCGACTAATCGGAAACTTAAATAAAAAAATTTGTAAAAATAATTTTTTTTTAAAAATCTGTTTCACATTACTATATTACACATTTTTAGCAATAAATTATGCAGAAAAAGAAATATGAGGGGTCAAAATTTGTTGCAAAATAGTGAAAAAAATCACTACTGAGGTAAACTGGGTAATGGGACGTATGCTCCCCAACAACATCATTGATCTTTTTAAATGCTATTTTCCAACCTTCAATTTGTACGACCATCTGCTCTTGACTTCAGAAAAATAAAAGACTTTGTTTATGTAAATGTGGAAAACAGCAAAGGTTTTGTGGGGTCAAGAAGAGAAGCCAGTACAGGGAAGCCATTTTCTTTTATGTATTAAATGTTTGTTCATTTCTCATCAAGTCAATTTGTGGTTATTAACAAAAAATTTATAAATTCAGTCATTTATAAGCACAGAAGATTATGGCCACTTCTTTACATTAGGAAAAACTTTAAAAAAATTTCAAACCAAAAAAATAGTCTTTAAAATAATATTTTAATGTAACACTACTCAAAAAAATAGCCATATGAAGGGCTAAAAAAGTAAAAATAAAAATTTAGAAACCAAAAATAAGCAAAAGGAAATTTTAAAAATATATATGTTAACAAAAACAGCACTCCGTCAGGGGACACAATGTCAGCAAACACACTCTGTAGTCAGCTTTTGGTTTAACCACTGATTTGGTTTTCCTTATTTTTGATTTCTAACTCTCTACTTAAATTGTTTACATAAGACAGTTTGGTTTTAGCGTTTTTCCATTGTGACTTATTATTTTAAAGTTTTTATCTTAAAATTTTTTTAAATCACTGTGATTGGACAATTTATATTACCTAATTAGAAATTGCACTCATGACTAAGTCTTAAATTATTCCTCCGGCCATTTAGTGAATCAATAGTTTTGTATTTAAAGCACACATTTCTATTTAGGAAGAATTTATATAAAAACAGATATCATACAAGTTTTATTTTACAGAATTATTTTATCCTTTTTTTCTTAGAATGAGAAGGTTTTCCCTCGGAATGAACAGAATCTTGAAGTCGTGAAAAGAAATCTTTAGATGATTTAATTTTTTCTTCACCAACCTAAAATAAAATGTATATCATTTAGGTATATAACTAAACAGAAAAAAAAAGCAATTGATTATCATCTAAGAAAAATAGGTCTTTTAGGAGGTTGCTATCAGGGATGGCAAGTTTTTTCCAATCCAAGTGGGGAAAAACTCTTTATCAAAAAGAAATATCTGATATTAACAAAATTTTTTAAACAGTATAATTGCAATCTTATTTAAATGCTATTATTAATTTCCAAGCTATTTAATGCATCCTTTTTTATGAGTGAAAACTAAAATGTATTAACTGGAAAGAAAAATTAATGTAATGCATTTCTTAACAAATTAAACTAATTGTAGTTTAATATTTTTTATTAAGTTTAGTAAAACCCAATATTATAATAAAGAACTATGAAAATATAAAATTTTATTATTAATTTTATATTAAAAAATATCTAACTTAATTTTTAAAATTAAATATAATTTATGAATACTTAAATTGACTCATTGATGTTAAATCAAGGTTGCCATTCAAATCTGGAGAAAAAAAAATTCCCTGTATTTATTATACACAATATATTAAGAGGAACACAACAGTTATTATGCTCTTGTGTGAGCTATATAGGGCACACTATATTTATTAGTTTTAATTGCTGGAAAAACTTAGAAAAAAAGAAGGAACAAATGAACATACTTAAATAATGCAATAGTAAATAAAATAGTTTAGTATAGGGGAGTTTGGAAAGATTAATTAAAATTGTTTGCAGAACGGATATAGCGAACCGAAATTTCGGTCTCTTGAAGAAAATGGAAAACTTGGATACTGCAGTACTTATAGCTAAAAAACTGCATCGGTCATTTTAGTTTCTTCTATTTTGTTCAATTTCTTACAGTTTTTCTAAAAACTTTAATTTTATTCAGTCTTACTTCTAAGAATAGTCAGAACATTCTGTGTTAAGAAGTCACACTTTAAATGTAACAATAAATTAACAATGAAGGTTAAAGCTCACTTTTTCCTAACAGACAAAACTAAACCATATCAAATACAATTAGATAATCATGTCAATAGCATACCACGCATTTTGCAAAACAAAACCATATTACGCAAATATTTCTTTCAAGGCATTTTATCATAAGGTTTAATACACTTAGAATTGTAAATAATACTAAGACTTACCTCAAGTAATTTTGTATTCCTATTTTGTTTTAATTTTTTCAATGTATTCATTTTATCTAGTTTGCTAGCCTTTCCGGAAAGATTTAGACCTGTGCCATCATTTTCCATTTTCTTGAATTTCATTCTTTGGAACATCTTTTTCTTTCGACGCTCTCGTTTTCTGTCACTATCGCTTCTTTCACTTTGGCCTTTTACTGTGCCTGTCTTTTTCTGAAATAATACATATATATTTATACAGGTATGACAAAAAAACAATAAAAATTAACAAGATAACAAATACCACATAGGGCACATTCAAATATTACATAAAAACTTAAGGAAGGAAGAGAGGTGTGAGCAAAACTAACATAAGAAACTAAATCCTGTTCTTTTTTTTTTCTTTTCTTAAATTAATGAAAAATATTTCACGTAGAAAAAACTGAAAAAATTTCTATAAGGAATATGAGACATCAAAAGTTTTGATTACAGAAGGAAAACATAAAAGATTCCTAAATAATACTTACTCGAAATTTTATAATATGAATTTATATGGAAATTTTGATTAATGCAAAGTTGCATAGTTTACTTGAATTAAATCCTAAAAATTGATAGTTACAGTAAAATTCAAAGTTCAAGCAAAACACAAAACAAGAGTGGGGGTTGTCAATGATTTGCCGAAATATGGAAGTTGGCTTGTGATTTGCTGATAAATAAAGAGAGAGTCCAAAATTGACAACATAACATTTGAACTGCACCATAGTAACATAAATGGGTAGGGTTTATTAAATACCATGTACCAAAAAAAAACTCCCTCATTAATTGTAACTATTGATGAATTTTAAAGAAAAAATTCTTACGTAATGTAATCAATCTGATTGAATAAACTGCAATTGACAATCACAAGTTAAAAACAAATAATAGCATTGCCTAAAAGTTCTACCTATTGAGAAATAGATCAATAAACGATATTGTGCTCCTATGCTATATTGTGCTCCTTTCTTACACTGGTAAACTATAAAATATTAAAAACTCTCCATTGTAAGCATAATTTGTAGTAAATATAATTAATCAAAGGTACAAAAAAAATGGTGTTGATTTAGAAATAATTTTTGTTTTATAGTGATTTTATATTTTACCTGGATTTCAATAAAATTGAGTAACTCTCAACAATTACCAGCCATTAAATGTAAATACAGTCAAATCATACATAAAAATAGAGGCTTTACCTTTTAACAAAGATGAATGTTTTATTGAACTAATATGAATGGAAAATTTAAATGAACATAGAATTAAAATTGCAAAAAAAAAAAATAATAATAATATTTATTTAAAAAAAAAATTAATTTTCTGTTTTGTGAGAAACCTATTTTAAGCCCACCACATTTGGTTTCATATAAAAACTTACCAAACAAAAATACTTGAAGGTTCAAAAAATTTAGATGCGTAAATTAACAAAAAAAAAGGGGGGGAAGAATATATAAATATTTGCAGATAGTTACTTTGATTTCTTCGGGTGCTAATAATGTGACATCACTAATGCTAGTTGGAGCAACTTCTTCCACAGTTATGGCAGGTAAATTGCTTACTATTTTAATATCTGGTATGGCCTGAAAGAATTACATAATTTACACATTAAACTAAATGCTAATCAGAGAAATGCAAAATGAAATTTTTTTTTAAAAAGTAAGAAGAAACAATTTTAAAAATGAAATTATTACCAATTTTTAAAAAGACGAAATAATATTTAATTTATTAAAATTTATTCCATAGTTAATAAAACAAAAGGTATATAATTCTTAAAATTATAAATTAACCATCAACAGTAGTGTTTCTTTTAAGATATACTAAAATTAATTTTAAAAAAGAGAAAATAATAACCAGAAGTTGCAAAGAAATGCCATTCAGTTAAAATTAAAAATTTAATAAAATTCCATAATTAAGGATAAACTGAGATAAAACTGAAGGTGTGTATCCATAAATGTTTTACACCATTGAAAAAAGTAAAAGAATACGGCTCATATTATTACAACATAGAACACAAAGCATGATCAATATAAAATAATAAAAAGTGTGTTACTTTTTGTGACAACATTGAAGATGCCTAAAAAATTATACACCCATTTGTCTTTTCCAATTTTTTTGAATATTTTTCAAAAGTTGGTCAAGATTTTACAGTAAAAATTGTAATAAGTTAATAACTAATAGTGACTACAGCATTTTTAATTGAACTGTTGAAAGACATGGGTAACAGGAAAATGAATAATAAGCTTGGAGTTACTTTTTGGTGCTAAAACACGAAAACTTTACGAGATCAACAAAATCTTTTGACTCGCATACAATAACAGAATAAAATGCTTGTATTAAAGTATTGAAAGGAATACACTCATGAATATTGATAAAAAAGAAGTGTCCAACTTTCATGATAATAGTTACAGAACTACAACATTTCCTAATGGGAAATCTTACTTTTTCTTGTTGAAACATGGTTCTTAAAATAAAAAGCTAAAACAAAGAGTGAACAATAGTTTTTACATAAAGGAGAATGAGAATACTTTATTTTTAAAATATCACCAATTCAGTTTAACTGAGAAGGCTCTGATTATGGGAAGGAAGATAACAGCACCATGAAGCTTTAGTGAATTATAGCTTTATGAATTATAGTGAATGCTTTATTGAAGCCACCCCTTTAGGATGGCTACTACAATTCACTTCTCTTAACAAATTTCTCGAAAGAAATTCCAAACAGAATCTCATACATTAATGCTAGCAGAAAAAAAAAATGCAACACACACAGAAATTTAATAATCTCAACAATATTAAAACTAAAAAAGAATATTTCATCTACATTTTCACTATGCAGATACTTACAGGTTTAGGAATATGACAGAACAAAGCTTGTAGTTCTGGCAAAACGAAATCCATCATTTTTTTAATTTCCACATGTTTTGGATTCTCTTGTTCTTGTTCACCCTGAAAATGAAGTAGGTATTATAAAACAACACTGAATTATTCATAGTTTTCAAACCAATAAATTATTATCACTGAAAATCACAATAAAACAATTTTAATTCATTATTAAGCTTTATTCATCGTTATTATTAGATAATATTACTAAAATTTATTATTAGATAATATTATATTATTAATATATAATATTATCAAGGAATAACTTTTAAATTTTCCCAGGTTTTGAAAATTGAAAATAAAAAACATATATACAATTGAATAAAATAAAACAGGGATAGCTTTAAACATTTTGTAAAGCAAGTCAGTTCAAGATTACAACTCTTACATTTAAACTTAATATTGCAATTCACCAATTTAATATTCTATTGTTGCAGAGTACTTTTATTAATCATGAAATGCTTAGATGCGTGCCTAATCAAAATTTAGTAAAATTTAAATATTTTTATTGCCATCTAAATGCGTTTTTCGAAAATGACAACATAATAAATTTCCTAAAAAATAAACATTCAACTTTCAGAACCTTTAACAGTTTTCGTAGTGGGCCAAAGAAAAAGTCATGACATTTATTAGAAAAATTAGAACTAAAGCAAGATATCTTTTGAAACAATATACACATAAAATATTAATTTTAAAAAAGGCAAATTAAAAAGTATAATTTGCTTTACTTAATTGTAATAAAAGCAAATTTTATGCTGCAAGAGTATAAAAAAAGCATACTATTCTTAATTTTAGAATTACTTTGTCAGGGTTGCCACTCAAATATGGAAAAACAATTCCAAGTGCAGGGGTCTGTTTAGAAGAAATTTGGGTCCGTTAGCGGACCCTTCACAAAATAATTTATGTTTTAATCGGACCCTTCACAAATTTGTTTATCTTCATTATTTTGTCAATCGAATAAACCCTTCCTGGGGGAGGGGGAAGAAACACGGTTCAAAACAAACTAAGTTTTCCAAGTTTCCCTAAGTTCAAATTCTAAATGTAGTATTCTAAGAAAATCTACTTTTACAAACATTGTGTGCACATTCTTACTGATATTAAATGATAATTTTTTTTAAAATAAATAATTGATCTATTTATATTTATTCACAAAATTGATATAGAATATTATGTAAATAAAAATTAATTTCTGGCAATTTTTTACATCAAATATTATAAATTTAAGAACTGTTTAAATTTACTTAATGTGTAGTTCATTAATAGTGATACATAACTAAATTGTTATTTAAAACATGTCAACTGAAATTATTAAAAATGTGAGTGATTTTGTTTCCATTATTCCTCCAAAATGAATATTCTGTGTTGAGCAGTAATTACCAAATATTTGTATGTTGCTTCTGTAATTTAGTAGCAGCAATTGTTGAGCAGAATCTTGTATCTATTTACAATTTAAAAACTTCTTGAAAAGGTTTTCAGACATTTTTGCAATAGCAGGACCCAATTTGCACAAATTCCCAAAAGCAGGACCCTGGTTGAAAAACTAAAACTTAACGCTTACTTTATATTCACAAATTATGAATATTTTTTCACAATTTTACAAGAACAGGACCTTTCACAAAATGTCTGGACAGACCCCTGCTGTGTTTTCCTTGTACATATTATGCACAATCTATTAAAAGGAAACACAATCACGGTGCTCTTGAGTGAGTTATATTAGGCTAACTATAATAATTTTAACTGCTGGAAAAAATTAAAGAAATGAGGCACCGCTTAGCATACTTAAAACAAATAATGCTATAGTAAATTAAATAGTTTAGTAAAGCTGAAATATCATCCTTAAATATTCCATAGATTGCGGTTTGAGTGGTCACCATTTTTTAAAAGATGAAAATAGGAATCCCAGTTTGTACGGAAAAACTTAAAATTCCTTGCATTTTCCCTGCCATTTTAGTTGATTGTTAAATGTCCTGTATTTTCCAGGTTTCTCCCATTCTGTGTAGCGGCAACCCTGTTAATCAAATAATTTTAAAGAAGGGTATCAATAAAATTGAAAAGAAAACATTTATGTTAAAAAAATAGTTTTAGTAGACAATTACTCAAATCATCATTTAAAAATACTACGATCCTATGAACCATGCATATAATCAGTAGACAATTCCTAATTTGGAAGTATTGAATTTTGTAATTTCTACTAAACTTATAAAAAATAAGAGAATGCTGTATCAAAAGTCTAGCCCTTTAGATTACTAAAATTTGCTTTTTAAAAATCTGAATTTGTATTCCTAGAAATTGGGATGCACTAAACACACACAAAAATCAGGAATATCAGAACAAAAAACTAAAAACCAGGACAAATGTTTTTTGTCAGGAAAATCAAGAAAATCAAGACTTGCCTTTAATTAATAAAGACTAAATCAATTCCATTAATGATTTAGTATAAATAAAATTTATATAATATATAAACCAGAATTGTAAAAAAAAAATTATTTTGTATGCATTTAAATTAACTTCTATTATCAAAATTCATTTCATCATTCATCTATTCTATTTAAAATTATTACTGTTAAGAATTTAAACTTCAGGTTTTTCCTCAAACATCAAATTACCAAGTTCAAAAATGATTTTTTGATTAGAGAAATCTAGCCAAAAACTTTTAGCTCTATGAGAGGATCTATGTATAACACTTAAGATATGTACAAATAAGTTATAGTAGAATTGAATAAATTAGATATTAAAAAAATTAACAGTGAAATAGTATTTGTTACTTTCAATCTACTATGGAACAAAAAATAGTAAGAATCAACTGAGTGCTTAGTTATTATTTTTGATACTCATTACGAATTTATTAACAAGATAGATTAATAACAAAAATAAAAACAAAAAAAGAACACTTTAAACTTAAACAAATACACTTTGAGAGGTCTTAGTAAAAGGGAAAATTTGATAAATAAATACTTATTTGCATGTAACAAATAATTTTAAGCTGCACAACAAAATTAAGAAATTTTTTTACTACTGTGACCAGGAGTAGGATTTTTAATAGTGGCCCCTTTATCAAGTAATTAATCTAAATTAATAAATCTAAATTAATAAAAAAACTTATATTAATGTAAATCATTTCGTTTCATGCACTTCTCAAAACATGGTGTAAAGATATAATCATGACAAGGTTGACTAAAATGAAGAAAAATTTTCCAGACCTGCTTACTATGTAGATTTAGGAAAAATTCAAGTAATGTACAGTGCGCAAAATAAAAAACGAACCACACTGAAAAACTTGTAATCTAATGATCAGATCTTCACAATCTAAATTCAATCTTACTAATTCAAAGGGTTCACCCCAAATATGCTAATTAATTAGTGGAGACGATATCTTAAATTAAGAAATCAGGCTACCGTTTGGGCCACCGCAACACCGTGCTTTCTCTGAATAAACATGCCTTTTTTCCCGACAGATTGAGATTTCTGACCCCCAAGACGTTGGGGGTAGCAGCAATTGACAGGAAATTGATCGTTGTCTGGTTCAGGTCAAACTTATGATTTAAGGATGATGAATGAATGTATGAATGGGTCTAATCTATAAAATTATGTGCCGAAGTCGAATGTGCCTATGGGTGTGGCAGAAGTCGAATTCTTAGCCATATATGGCGCCACTGGAAAGCAAGAACAATCGCACCCTTTCGGCCTTCTGATGACAACAACAACAAGGATTGTGTAGAGGGTTTTTTAACACCGGTTAAAGTAATGTGATTAAAAAGGTAGAGTTACATATCAAGATACAATTAAATCATCAATTAAAACATAGGTTGTCACAAAATTACAAATTCTAAGTGATAAATCAGAAACAGTTCTTATTTGGAAGCAAAATAAAAGACAATTTTATAAACCGCATGACTTATTGAATACATGGCTACTGCTAAAAGTAACAAAACAAATGAATAAAATATTATGTATTTTGAAAAATTGATATAAAATTAAGATAAATAGCTAATAAGAAATAAGCTAAGCTTACATATTTTTTCTTGAGATAATCTTCTTCATAAACCTGTGCAAGACTTTTCTTACTTTTGCTTTGGTCTAATACTATCTCTTTCTTCGATGAAGTAAAATCATTAATAGGCTTTACTACTCTTTGTCCATCACTATATGCCTGAAAATATATGTTTAAATTAAATCAAATATGGCAGAATAGCAAGAAAAAACGAAAAAATCATATACTTGCAGACATATTTATATAAAAGGTATANAACAAAATCTAAAAATCGACGTATAACCGATTCTGTGCGTCGTATAAACGATGTATTTTTACATTAAAATGAATAGGAATGATTTGGGACCACAATAAAACGTCGTATAAGTGATCGTCGTATAAACGATGCTCCACTGTACTTGCAGACATATTTATATAAAAGGTATAGTAAAATAAAGTTTAAACTGTGTACAATTTTTCATAATTATCATTTAGCTCTGCATAGTTTTTAAAGAAAAAGGTAATAGTTTTTATTTGCTTGTCAATAATATAAGTGAAAATGTTATGCTATAAAAAATTAATGCAACAAGCACATAATACAACAAGCGCTTACTAGAGTTACTATCTACTTCGGTTTCATATTTTGACACAAAGTAGTTTAAAAGTAACGGTGGAGGTAAATACGCCATGAATTTATTTTTTAGTCATTTTATTGCATTATCAGCTTAATGTTCTGTTATAAGAAGTTCACTGTATAAAAGTGTTCAGATTATTTTAATACTTCATTACAATTTTTTTGCATTCTGGCTAAAAATCTCCTTAAAATAATAAAAAATTATCTATACCACATTTTTTTTTTTTTAATTTAATGATTTCAATCAATATTTTAATTATAATTCAAATCAAGTGCTTGAAAATATAATTTTAACTTGAGCAGTGATTAATAACTTTTACAGAACACAATATAATAACTTGTCCTGAAAAAAAATATTCTTAATTGTATGGAATGTTAAGCTGGTGCCTCATTTGATCTTTGTTTGAACAATGTTACAGAGTATTATTAAAAATATATTATTAAAATTTGAAAAGGAGTCAAAAAATGTTGTATATTAAATTAAAAATTTAAATTACCTTGTTTTTAATAATTGATATAATAGCCTTTTCTGTTTTATTGAGTAAATCTTCATCTTCAACAAGTACTGAAAAGATAGAAAAAATATTGAAAGATAATTTTATTATATATGACAATGAAACTTAGGCATACAGACCAGTAAACAATATAATAGATTTGATTATGCTGATAAACATTTTATGTTTAATTATTCTCCATCTCTTTATCTATAATAAATCTTTAACAAGTGAAAGGTAACATTAAAAGATAAAGTTTTAATATTTGTAAACAATATTGCACTAAACGTATTAGCAAAAATAGAATAAAATCGATTAAAAAATAGATTTGATTTATACTAATATTCAGTTTACTTTAATTAATTCTCATTCATTTTTATATAAAAAGTTAACTCACTTTTATTTATTAGACTATTTGAAATATAACTAATGCTTGGCTGGGTAGTTTTGGTCCATTTGAAATAGATCAAAACTTGTTGTGACAAAAAAAAAGAAGAGATTTTTATAGAAAAATTTCTAATTTTGTTGGTCTAGAACTACGATGAAGGATTCATTTTGAAAATTGACTCAACTTAATAAAATGGCTTAACTATAGAAGGTGGCTCATATATAACACCAATTATAATTTATTTCTGAAGAAATTTTCTATCATTATCATTAAAAATAAAAAGGTGAGAACTATATAAAAAATTGAAATGAGGAAAATATGCATATAAATATTTAAAAAATTTTATTAAAAAAATTTTTTGGAGGAATTTTTTTTGAAAATTTCAAGAATTTTGTAGAGTAAAATAATAAGATTTAATATCTGAAGTTTTTCACATATAAAATTAAATATCATACTTTTCAACAAAAAAAATTAAGGGTGCTTTTTGTTTCAAATCATTAAAATAAAATACTGTTTTAAGATAAAATGCTTCAAGAATTTTTTATAGCAAAATAACAAAGTTCTTTGCTCTCAATTTTTTCACATAATATTAAATAATATACATTTTTTTTACAACAAAAAAAGTAAAGCGATTGTTTTTTTGTTTAAGGCCCTAAAAAACAGTAAAAATGAGAAAAATTATTAAAAATTTTTGATATTTTTCCTTTTAAATCCTATCCAATAAATTTTAATAAATTTAAATCTAAATTTTAACATTGTACCATTATTTTTAACACTCTCCGAACTAATGCTATATCTGAGGAAACAGTATGTAAGCAACCAGCATATATGTACTTGAACTGACCACATTATAATAATTTTAAAAGAAACACAGCAAACATCACAATGATTAGACCACAATCAAATTATTGACCACTTGGTTTCATGAATCTGATAATTTTAAGGGGTTACGCTCAGACTTAAAAAAGCAATGATTAGTACAGAGGTCGCCAAAGTGGTCTATATAGACCCCTAGGGGTCTATTTAACGAAAGCGGGGGTCGATCTGAGACAGGGGGGCGAATGGGGGTCGATCCGAATTGGAAGGGTCGATTGTGGGTTTAAAAAAAAAAAAACAGTTCTCAATACGCAAATCACACATACCTGATTAAGTATGTAAAATTTGTGAATTTTTTTTATAATTGACTCAATATCAGTTTCTTTATAAAACATAAATTAATAAACGTAGATTTATTGGGGTGAAACAAGTATTTACGTTCCACCGTGCAGTGGCACGAACTCAGCGCAGTTTATAAGTCATATGCACATGCGCGCTTGTCCAAATGTCACGTGTGACGAGCATTGACGTTACAAATGCAAATATCATACGCAGTTTCAGCTATCTTTGCAAACTGTGTTGAATATTTGCAGTGTCATTATTAAAACTTTTATAGTTTTGGATAATTAGTTATTGTTTCGATAAAACCATTCGTTTGGTTTAGATATCAATTTTAATTATCAATGCACAAAAAAGAAGGTAAGCATTAATAATATGGATTAGTACAGCCCGCGACAAAACTATAGCACACTTTGTATTTTTTTACGAAAATTACAAAATTGACCAATTTTGACGAAAATTAAAATTGACCAATTTTGAACCCAATATAGCGAACCTTGCAAAAAAACACCAGGCACACCCATCTCATTGATCAAGAAGCAGTAAATCTTTAGTTACTTTACTTATTATATCTACTTATGCATAATTACTTATTATTTAATAATAAGGTATTTAAATTTCAATATTAATATATTTTTCATAAAACTATTGTTACACAATGTACTATTACTTTAATAAATGTTTAAAATCATAAAATAAATGTACAAACACAGTATCTAATAGAGTTTTATTTTAATTAACAGAAAATTACGTTTGTAGGGGTCGATGGAGATTTCGAAAAATTATACAGGGGTCGATGATCGAAAAAGTTTGGCAACCCCTGGATTAGTATTTCTAAAGGCTGGTCAGTTTCGACACAATGTCTGAAAGTATCACCATATTGTGAGCCCCATAATTATACAGTTTATACACCATTCAAGTTACTGTATTCTCAAATGACACTTTATCATGGAAAATTTGTTAAGAACGAAAGCTAATACAAAAAAACAATAAGACAAGAGAAAAAAACTTTTGTAATTTTCTTCAGGCAAAATATTCTGAGAAGTATTCTTAGAATACTTAATTCATCCATAATTAAGTCTTTTAAAATTTCAAAAATAGTAATTATGCTATAATTAAATAAATAGTAATTATGCTATAATTAAATAAATCCATATTACTTAATTAACACAGAAGAAATAGTAAATATTTTAATATTTCTTTATAAATATACTGCAACATTAATATTTTATCCGAAAATGATTACTTTTAATAAAAAATCCTTAAAATCATCATTAAGTAGCACAGTAAAAGATAACTTTATTCTTTCGTAAAACTACGACTACCAACCCTAAACTGAATGTAAAGCTGGAATAAATCACAGATTTTCTTTGATAAACATTTATGTTCTAAATTAATTTTTAAATAAAATATAATTATATTCTTCATAAAGAAACATTTAAAAATAAATATATTCTTCATAAAGAAACATTTAAAAACAAATCATTACATTCTTCATAAAGAAATATTTAAAAATAAAGAATTATATTCTTCCAAAAAGAAACATTTAACTGAAAGGCTATGAATTTAAAATGTTACATATTCAAAGAATTTTTACCTGGTTTAGCACTTGAATCAAAATCTGTATCCTGGTGAAGAAGACTGTCTTTTGGACGACTACTTGCTGTAACCTCACCAGTTAGATGCCAGTCTGGCTTTTGTATCATTTTTTCCTCAAAGTCATGTACTGTTTTCTTTATCTATTTAAAAGTCATATTTAAATATAATACACTAGGGAAAACAATTGAAAAATCAAATGTTTTTTTTTTCAATAAAAAACTAACAAAGCAAATAAAACCAAACATGGTCAAAATGTCATACAATATTAGACCAATATATGGAGCATGTACTCCAAATAAGTAAACAGCTCACTTGTCCCGCACAGCAGCTGACTAACATCCTCAGAGTATCAGTCAGAGGAAAACAAATCTAATAGTGTGAATAAACACCTCTAACAACTACACAACTCTCACATTGGTATTTTATACTGTTTACCAGGATACTTTCCAATCCCTGTAGCAACCGCACTCTTGCAACAATGAGCATAATTGTTGGTTGTTGTAAAAGGTCTTTGAGCTACAAATGAGTGTCCAAAGACATCCCAAACGCGATTGGATTAAGATCAGGGAACATCTCAGCTACTCAAATCATCCAATATCCTCCAATTGGAGGTATTCGTTCACCAATTGAGCCTTGTGAGGACGGATATTAATGCTCAGAGAAATTAAATTTGGCCCATATGCTTCACAGAAAAATTTCACATTGATTGCAAGGATCTGGTCTCTGTATTGCTGATTTGTCAGAGTACCTCTAGCTAACACATGAAGGTTGGTATGCCCATCTACCGTGTTGCTTTCCCAGATCATCAGATCTCCTCGATCATAGTGGTCCTTTTACACATTACTAGAGGGCCTGTGAACTGTTTCCACAGAGTGGACACATTTCTCGAAACACCACACTTCTCATTTCTTATTTTCTTGAGGTCTCTACAAGAGGTAGTCATCGATTGGCTAGAATCGAGTTTTCCAACTATACGGTTAACCTAGATATATACGGTTATCGAGTTATCCTATACATATCAATTAAATTCTTTTCTACAACATACATAAAATTAAAACTAAGCAAAATTTTTAAGGCACTCCTTCACTTTTCCAGGCAAAAGAGCTTGAAAAAGCCACCTACCGGTTCATCAAAAAAAATTAATAGATAAGATAACATGAAGTGATACAACAAATACCTTTTCTTGCTCAATCTCAAAAGGAGTCTTTGGTGTCAGATTAGAATTATTCTCTTCTTCTTGCTCTATTTCATTTAATATGTCATTTGCATTATCATCATCCTCATCCCTATAAATACCGAAATAATTTTTAGACATAAATTTCTTTTACCAAATAGCGAAACATGGCTGAGTACTCAGTGTACACCATGCAAAATAAAAAAAGAGATTACCTCAATAACTTTTGACTTAATGATTACAATTCCGTGACTAAAATGCAATCTTAATGATTTGAAGAAGAAAAAATATGCCAATTTATAAGAGCAGGTGATTATTTAAATTCCAAAGTCAGATACAAAAATATACTTTTTCTGAATAAATATATATATATATATATATATTGATGATTTCAGATTTTAGACCCTCAAAATAGTCATAATTTGAAAAATATGGTTTTAATAGTTTAGACGTAAGAGCAATCACAAATTTCGGAAGAGCAATTCCAAGCTTTAGCTCCTTAATGATAATTTTATTTTTTTCAAGCAAAATAGCATAAAAAAAGTCACACTTTTGGTTTTTCATTTCTCAAGAAGTAATTGACCATTTCCTTTCAAACTTCAGAATTTGTAATTTAAAATTGCATTATTTAAAATTATAGAAAAATTTCCATGACTCACAATTCCAAAATTTTCGTAACATTAATACTTAATAAATAAATAGTAATAATACTACAGTAGAGAACCAATTATCCGGGATACTCGGGACCATCGCTATCCCGGATGTCTGAATTTCTCGGTTTTCTGGATCGACCAAAAAGTGTCGTTAATCGATGTTTTATCGAATCCGAATTACAAGGAAAAAGTGCAATGCATAAAGTAAGCGAAAAAAGAAAGGTACTCCTAACTTTAAAAGAATAAAAAAATGTGCAAGTTTAGACAAGAAAAACAAGTTCAAAAAATACAAAATTCTCGTATTTATTTTTTAAAAATAATAACAATTCCTAAATTAACTAATATAAACAAAACCAATGGTTAAATAACGCAATATATTTCATACCTAATTATACGGGGGAAACGATAAAATAAAAAGAAAACACTTGAAAATTATCGAACCGAAACGATAGTTAAAAAAGGCACTATCATAAATATTAAAACCGGAACAAAGCAAGATCAACGGAATTTTAAAAAAAAACCTAATGATAAAATTTATGAATAAAAAGAATTAATTTATTGAGTGCGAAATTTATCGTGAAAAGAAGAAAAATCAAACGTAGTGGAATCAGAAAAACAAAACTGCAATCTGCTTCATAAAATAATCCTATGTTTAAATTAATAAACAATTCTCCTTTTATTTTATTTTTTTGTGTTGATAAAAACACGATATTTAATTACAGCTGATGTGATTCCACATCAATAAAAACTTGCAAATGATACCGCACTTCCAAAGAATGAGAATTTATTCAGAAGAAAAAGATTTTATTTTATTAATTGATGTCAAATAGATAAATATATTTTTCTCTTTCATCTTCTGTTCACTGATATGCATGCAATGCATTTTCCCACCCCCCTCGTAAATCAAACAGAAAACGAAATNGATCTATACATTTATAACTTTTCGTTATTATCGAAGATTATGCAAATTTATACTTAAACAATTTAAACTTATTAAGAAATGTAAACTTATATTATGAAATTGAAAAAAAAATCTACACAGTTTTATTCTATGCATGTAGACTTATTTTATAAACACGAATTTCATCTATTATTATAAATTCATTACACATACATTTATAACGATAAAAATATCTTGCAGAAAGATATTGGTTCTAATTAGGTTTGTCGCAGAAAGTCAGAAAAAATTCTGCCACAGGGATTCCATTCATTCCATTATCATGATTTAAACCATTGATACAAATTCAATAATTCATCACACTTAATAATACATCATATTTGTCACACTTAACATAAAACAACAAACATTTTTTAATATCCCACCCAAAATTTATCTTAAATAATTTAATGATAAATTAAAATTTACCGTTACTTTATTTTCAATACCCTCCTCATCCATCTCATCTTCTGAGTCATCAAAATTGTCTGATAGCATATCTTCAAAATAGTTAATACCTTCGTCATCACTCTTCTCCTCTTCGTGTTCAGCCTTTATGTCTTCAACCCTTAAAAACTGCGCCAAATTTGATAACTTAAAAAACTGGTCATCAACTACAGAGTGAAATTTCTCATGGTGTTTTTCCTTGGACTCATCTTTCTTGTGCATTTTCTTAACTTCAACTACATTTTCCTCTTCTTCTTCTGACTGAGACATATTTTCCAAAAAGTCGCCATCTTCTTCATCGCTATTGGATAGATTTAAACTATCAGCAGATTTGTCAATTTTTCGGGTGGAAGCTTCAGGAATAGGAAAATCATCACCTGATAAATCAGAATCATCATCAAAAACATATTCTTTATCCTCAGAGAGTTCAGACTTGGAATATGTTTGCACTTTAATTTCATCATCAGATGAATTAAGATGATTGCCATTAGTACAAGTATATTCATCATCTATAAATGAAACACACTTATTAAAGTGTTCAAAGGCACTTTTATTTTGAAGCTCAATTTGTTGAAATATTTGTTCAGAATCAAAACCATCAATGAGAAGTTTTCTCAATGCTTTGCTTTGACACTCAACCAAAATATTATTTTTGTAGACGTGATCATATATTTCTTTTGATGAATGCTTTAAACCATCAATAATTTGCCTAAAACAAAAAAGAAATACTTTAAATAAATGAACTCCTTGACAAAATGAAAAGTTAAACATGTATGCGTAATAATAATCTCTCTTTAATGCTTGAATAACAAATATTAGTTATATATTAACAAACAAATAAAAACAGTATGATAAATTAATAAATAATTATAATATTATATTGCTTTTATTATTATTGATTATATCATTAAACTGTTATTTTATAATTATATTGTTATTTAATAATCTAGATATGGAATAATTATATTGTTATAATTCTTCTTAATCTATGTGTGTTCTCAAAAAATTTGAAGATGGCATTTTCATATAAGTCTTTAAATATTCCATTAACAAATTTTAACATTTGCTGATTTAGACTTATTTTTGCTTAGTGAAATTTCTTAGTTTCATCTGATTTTTTAATTGAATATTTTAATTTCTTTCATTTTTTAGAAATTTCATTTCATAAAAATGTTTGCAATATGTTTACTGTCCCCTCATTTAAAAACACAGGAAGAAAATATTTAATATTTTTCTATGAACCAATAATTAATAAGTAACCGTAGAAAAAACTTTTAAATATTTAATTGAAAATTCAATTATTATTTAAGAAAATAGATAATATCTAGTTATTTAGAAGAAACATTAAGAATTTTCTCCTTTTCATTATAAAAATATACTTGTACGATTAATATTTTTATATTACTTAAATAACATACAAAATGTGGTTAGAGTTATTTAGAAAATGTAATCACATTTCGTAAACAAACACATAATTTAAAACCAATTCTTGTTTGATATTTTAAAATATTTGTTTCATATTTTTGTGGGGGGGGGATAGTAATTACAAAGAAAGATATTTAAGGTAATAAACTAGAAAAAAAAGTTTTTTATTTAAAATTTTTTTTTTTTCTGAACTACACCATTTGGCTTTATAATGAATAAAAATATATATATATTATTTGTTTCACATTTCAAAATACATAATTTGTATACTTCATCTAAATTGTTTATGGTTTAGAAATGGGAAGAAATTGGAATTGGCGGCATTTTTAAATGACACAATTTTTGTTCCTGTAACAAATAAAACTTTTCATGCAAACAATTTAGTAAAATCTCGGTCAACTTTTCACTCAGGAACACTTTTTATTCTAGACCTCCTTCTCATAACCTAATATTTATACAATTTATCTAAAGTTAAGAAATACCAATTAGTAATTAAAACTGAAATTTAAAATTTCATTTTTAAGTAACCAAACTCTTATTTAAACTCACAATTTTTTTTAATGAAATCTGGTAAAAAAAAAAATTCAAAATTCAGATATTAATGTTAATAAAATTATAAATTAAAACAATTATACAGATATTCAAAATTATTAAATTAAGGAGAACACAAAATGTAAAGATAACTTTCAATGAAAAATAAATAAAAATAGAGGTAAAATTTAAAAAAAATTTCTTTCAGCTATTCAGTTTAACTTGAGAAAACTAAAACAGTCTACGCTCGTTAGCACCACCCCCTAATTAGTTATGATTGCTACACAAAGTTCCACAGTAATTACATGGATCTCGCTCTATTGAACATTTAAAATAATTATACAGAAAAGAATCATAGTTTTTACAGTTCAGCATATAAGCTGCTTCTTTTATGTGTGGTCTGCAAGAATCTTGTTCTAACATACACAATGAGCAGTAATTCTTGATGCATCATTGGTCAACTTTCAATTTAAGCAATTGCCAACACTTTCAACAAAGAAATACTGTGTACATGCGCCTGATCAGTATTTGTTGAGAAATTTTATTTTTTTCCCCTCTACGTTCTAGACACTGAAAAATTGGATGATGCAGGAATAAGATCGAGTTTAGTAAATGAATAATTGAAATATGAATGAATGTCACGGGGAGATTTCCGTATCGTGATCTGCGACAGAATAACCGCCAAGTCTTGGAATCTTCCGGGCAGTGGCCCGCAAGAAACTAAAAAAAAAACATCACAGAAAGGGACCGAAAGGTATAACTCTTAGTAATCCACATTTTTTTTTTTTTAAATTTGCGAGTTTAAAATCTCTTTGCCATCTTGGCGATTGTAGTTTACGAGATAGATCACGACACGGAAATATCCCCAATATCACTAATGAAAATTCCTTACATTAAAGGATAGAAATTATTGAAAACGATGGGGGAAAAAATGAACAAGAGAGCGAAAATTGGCTTATTTGGGGAATTGGATAATTGTCCCACTAGCCCCAGTCCTAGGACAACATAATTATTATGGTTATTATTAAAAGTCGTCACATAATATATTGCAAAAACATCACTCACTTAGAGCTTTCACTATTGCTCACGCTTTCAATTTTTTCTGTAATATCATTTGACAGTGCATACTTCCCAACACTCAACTCCATTTTAAATCAGATTATCTAAATGCGCAAAGACTCACATAAAGTATCACACATCTAATACAGAATTAAATTAATTTAAACGAAAATCGTCTTGGCTAGAGAATTAACATCGTGTTCGTGTTGGATGCGAAGTTGATATTAAAATGCATTTTTAAAAGTATGCATTGTAAATGTTTTAGCTTTTAGCTTAGTTTATAAAGCAGTTACTTAGTTTTTCATGACGTCATAACTTTGAATTCCTAACCCTCGTTGTGTAGCGCCACCACTGCACTGATATTAACTGCGAATATTAAAAATTTGATTTTCTTTTAACGTATTTTGATTATTTCTTCTTGTATATTTTAAGCATGGTGATACATGTATATTATTTAAATTTTTCATTTCACTCGATAAACAATTTTTTTTAATTAAAAAAAATAAAATAATTGCTTTACTTTATATTGACTTAGATAACAAGTTGCTACAAATATTGAGGATAAATAAATGTGTATTTTTTCAAGAACCGATTTATTGTGAAGTACAGGTGCATATAATAAATACAAAAACTAATGAAAAATGAAAGCATAAGCTGAATGAAAATGTATTAATCATCTTTTTATGATGCATCAGTAGAATTCAATTACATCTAATAAAACAATCATTTTAGTATGACTATTTATATCGAAATATATTTCATCATAATGAAATATATTTCGCAGCTCATTCTTTGGCCTCAATACCTATAATAATTAATAAATTTACTCTCTACTTGATCAATATCATGAAAGTATTCATTGCATTATGTGTGAATTCAATATTATTTTAATTTCGTAATTTCGGCAACGAGGTTTTTTTTGTTTTAAGTTTTTTCTATGCAATTTAAGTAAAAATGATTTTACGTACTGAGCTCTTATTAATCTAAAAAATGAAAATTAGGTTATAAAATAAATGTTTAAATAAATGTAATGATGAATGATTTAATTATATGAATAAACATTTCGCTTTAATCTTTTATTTCTACCAAAATTTTGTTTATTTCTAATAATAATTACCGGTAATATAATACGTTGTATAAGTAAAATATTACGGGTCAATATTAAGGTTTGATATCGCGCCTTGCGTCAGTTAACATTGAAAAATGCCTTTGAATTTTAAAATTCTTTAGAAGGCGAATTTCCTCATTTTAAGCTTTTCAGAACACTTATTTTAGATTCACATACATAGTAAAATACAGGGCCACATTGTATACCCCCTAGTGGGTCTATAATTATTTTCTTTGGTAGGGTACACTATTCTTAGGTAATATAATACGTGGCCCAATTGAAATATTATAGGTTTAATATTAAGGTCCGATATCGGGCTTATACATAGTAAAATACAGGGACTCATTGTGTACCCCCTAATTGACCTATAATTATTTCCTGAGGTAGGGTACACTATTACTCTGAAATATAATACGTGGTCCAATTAAAATATTATGGGTCAATATTAAGGTCCGATACGTTAACATTGAAAAATGACTTCGCGCTTCCTAATTTTAAAGGGTTTTAGATAGCGAATTTCCTCATTTTAAAGCTTTACGCAACTCTATTTTAGATATACATACATAGTAAACTTTAGGGTCACGTTGCGTACCCCCTATGGGGTCTATAATTATTTCCTCTGGTAGAGTACATTATACCTAGGTAATATAATACATGGCCCAATTAAAATATTATAGGGTAATATAAGGGCAGATATCGTGCCGTTTGTTAACATTGAAAAGTGTTTTCGAATTTCCTTATTTTAATGCACTATTTTAAATATACATAGTGTACTCCCTATGGGGTCTATAATTATTTCTTGAGGTAGGGTACACTATTACCCTGTAATATAATACGTGGTCCAATTAAAATATTGTGCGTCAATATTAAGGTCTGATATCAGGCTTTACGTTAACATTGAAAAATGACCTAGCGCTTCCTAACTTTAAAGGGTTTTAGAAGGCGAATTTCCTCATTTTAAGCTCTTCCGAACACTTATTTTAGACAAGCATACATAGTAAAATACAGGGCCTCATTGTTTACCCCTTAATTGACTTATAATTGTTTCCTCTGGTAGGGTGCACTATTACCCGATAATATAATACGTGGTCCAATTAAAATATTATGGGTCAATATTAAGGTCCGATATCGCGCCTTGCGTCAGTTAACATTGAAAAATGCCTTTGAATTTTTAAAGCTCTTTAGAAGGCGAATTTCCACATTTTAAGCTTTTCAGAACACTTATTTTAGATATACATACATAGTAAAATACAGGGCCACATTGTGTACCCCCTAGTGCAGTGTTTCCCAACCTTTTTTGTGCCATGCCCCACCTAAGCCTTTCTAAAATTCTTATGCCCCCTATGTAACATATACATAATTATAAATATTAAAAAAATTGAATTGTTCGCTTAAGAAACTTAAATGATAGATTTTAGGAAGAAATCACTGGGGAATTGTTAACGAAACACAGTAAATTTTCAAACCANTTTTTTTTCTTTGTATACATTTTAAGCTTTACCTTGGAATTAACCAGAAAAATCAGAAGACTTGTTAAAATTCAAAGTCATTTTAAAATAAGATTTAATTTTAGAAATCAATCTCTTTTACTCCTTCATTTATTTTAATGTTTTTATACCTTGTGCTTATCATTAAAATTATGATAAAGTTAATTTTCCATTTTTTTGTAAACTGAAAATTTATATTCATGATTAAATTCAAATCTATGCTAGAATCAAAATTTAAATAACAAGTTATTTTTAATTCAATATGTTTTTGAGGAGCGAAAAACCATTCTATGTCATTATGATTAAAATGTATCGACAAAATGTATTGCTCAGCATTAACAAGTTTAAAGGAGTAAAATTACAAAATTCATTAATTAAATTTTTTACATTTTAATACACTTTTTTTCTTTTTAATTAGTTTCGGATTGATAAATCATTTTTTGTTAACTAAATTGGTGTGGATGTAATAGTTAAATCATCGTCGTCATAAACAACGGAAATAGTTTAGATAATTACAATTAGACAAATTACAATATTAAAATAATACAACTAACTTTAAAATATTAAATCAAGCAAAGCTTATGACTTTGCATTGGCTCGCCCCTCCAGTCAAAAAAAAGTTGGCACGCCACTGATCAGCAGCCTTATATAAATATCTCGCAAGGCAAGGATTAGCAATCAGAGGACATGCCAATGATGACGGAAACTACATGAAACTTTTCAGGACTCTTGAGACTTCGCAGTGAAGATAAGCCAAGTCTAAAAAGAGAAAAATTACTACCATTCGGATAAGCAAAACGAAATCCTTGAAATATTTAGGAGAGAAACAAGTCTTTACTCTAATAGAGAAGATCAAATCAATTTCACCTTTCATTTTTTCCGTGGTTTGTAATGGAACAAGAGATATTTCAGAGGTTGAGCAAAGAAAGTATGTGTATAAGGTGGATAGAAGACAATTTAAAACCCAAATTCTAGGAAAAAGAAACATTTCTTGGATTTTACAAGACTTCGGCAACAATCTGGAGAAGATATTGCAGCTCTCATAACTTCCCTTTAGGACTGATAGGGCAAACCCTATGACGGGGCAGCAAATAAAAAGGGTGTTCAAAGCACCTGAATTGCGAAACAATCTCTTGCTGATTATATCCCATTGTTGTCATTTAATCATCAAAAATATTTGTAATTTTTCAGATGAAGTGAGAAATTCCTTGGATCATTTACATCAATTAGGAAATGTATTCTCAAATGCTAACCGGTTACAGGCTATGCACCCTATAAACGGTAGTTTGTGACCTCTAATTTGTATATTTTTTTAAACTTAAAATGATCTATGGAAATCTTTTAAACTTAAATGATTTTAAAAATGATCCTTAAGTCAATAGAGTATGGAACACTCTGCATCATAGAATCAAGATGTTTTAGTTAGCATAATTATGTATTGAATGTTAGTAAAAGATATAATTTTCTTCTGTTTGATGTCATACCTTAAAAAAAGTTACTTTTATCTATATATGTGTGTCTGTATTTCGGTTTATATAAATCGTAAGTAGCGTTTGCTCAATAAGGGATTAAAAAAATATCCTTTTTTTTCTGAACCAAACGTCCTTGCCGAAGCTGCCTTTTCAAACTTCTTTTATTCTTAATAGTTTCTAGAGCAGGGGTTTCCAACTGGGGGTCGCATCCGGCCCGCGAAGCCTTTTTTTTTTTTGTGTCCCGCGAATTAAAATATATTATTTGTCATTTTTTGCGGACGATTTTCGTAAAAAATCTATATGGATTTGAAATACTTTTTTCGTTAATAAAAACCTAATTTCTTCGTTTCTGCGAAATTTAACACACCAACGATGCAAAGGAATTTATTTCTCAGATTTTGCATCCAAGAAAATATTTATTCAAATACAAAAATAATCGTGTATGTTGCTCTTTTTTATTTCATTTTTTTGTATTTTGGGAATATGATTTAGCATGTGCGTATTAGAAATTTTCTCGAAGAAATTCTCCGATTTAATTTTTTGAAACTACTCATTTTGGACGAAAATATTTACACAAACATTTGTAAATTTTAAATGTAAATATCTATTCTCTGGTGGTTGCAACAGACAAACCTGAATTTTCTCATTGACTATTTTGTGTGCTACTAAGTAAGTTTTAATGCCAACTTTTTTAAAGTTTTATATAATAACAATTAGATATCTGTCGCACATTAATTGTTTAATAACAATTAAAGTTAATAATAATAATTAACTTTAATATGCACATAGGTGCATATTAAAGTTATTGTAGCTCGAATTCTTATTATTTAATATTTTTAAAAATATTATTAATATGCAACTAAGTATTTTTTAGAATCTACTTCTTAATTTAATTTGTTGTACTTCTGTTGTCAGTACTTCTGTTTTGAACAAATGGGTAAAAATCTGACAGTAATATTTAATGTTCCTTCAAACATAAAAAGAGTCCTACATAAAATTATGATTAAGTTACTGCCCGCCATTTGATTTGTGTTTTTAATTGTGGCCCCCGGCCTCATGTAAGTTGGAAACCCCTGTTCCAGAGTATTGACAATTGAATGTGAAATTGAAAATTCTGCCTAAAGTTATGTTAGATTATTTTTTGAAATTCCTCCTTAGTTACTCAATTTTAATTATCCTTGACTGATTATGACAAATTGCTTTATAATTCTCTTCAGTCACTTTAGTTCAATACTCGAACCCATTATGTTTCTATCGATATTCGAACCTGCTTATAACTGCGGTTTTCAAAAATTAGTCTTCTG